TTTTATATGACATTTTCTCATATAATTTTTTTTTACTTTCATTGCAGTTGAATACCCACCAACAGAATTACATATCAGCAAAATAAATACTCAATAAAACCGTCTACTCTATACATTTTCGTTTTCCATTCATTTTGAATATTGAAAAATTAGTTTATCATAAATTATTCCCAATAACAAAAAATTTCGGAAAAAATCTAATCTCTACTTTAACAGACACAAGTATTAGTCATTTAAACAAACCTTCAAACTATATTTAAACAAATATTTTCAATTTACAAAGGTTGACCACACTACAGTGCTCTATATATTTTTTGATATTACACATACGGTTAAATATATATATATACTTATATTACAATATATGCGTGCTTATATAAAAGCCAAAAAATATACATAGTAAAATTAATACACACTTATCTATTAATTATAGAGATAAAAATATACAAAAACCACCAAATATTTATACAATACATATTTTATACATTACATATTTTAATTTTTATAACAAAAAAAGATATTCAACCGTGCGCAAGCACGGGTTCTCCTCTAGTTTCTAATTAAAAACATAACGTAATTATAGGAACAAAAAAGCAATTACGAATGCAATTAAAGAACATTGTTAAGGTAGTCCATAATCGTAATTAGGTTTACCTCAAAAATAATATATGATTTTATACTTATAAGCAAAAAAATTGGTAGTTTTTAACTATAAAAATTCACTAATTTGGTAAAAGTCAACTTTGGGACGATTATTTTAAAATTTTCAAGTATATTTTTTTTATAGCATGTAAATGGTGTTATTTATAAAATATCTAATTGTATTGGAAATAATGGGTACGAGATGGGAGCGGATAATTGGAAAAAATAAAATATTATCCAAACTATTTCTCATAAAAAGCATGATGAGAAATAAATGTAACGAGACGAGATCATAAAATCAAGAAACTAAATTCAATTTCAATTTTCAAATATCAAATAACATGTATGATACATGAACATGAAATTTGAATTGTTATATTTAGTTTTAATTATTCAACTTTATTCCAAATATTGGAATATGAAATAACAGGTACGGGTAATTTGAAACATAAAAAATATCATCTAAACTATTCCTGATAGAATATGGGACACAAATTTTGGGTAACGTGAATTTAAGAAGAACATATGCGGACATACTATTTACTAATGTGGATTACATGAAATGTATTTTTTGCGGGTAAAAATATTTTAATCTGTATTGGGTTAAAAATATTTTTAGTGTGTAACATGCATTGCGGACGTGTTTGATCCTTTTGACAAATATATTTAGTCCATCCGGGGTCAGATGTTTTTTTATTATTGTTTTTATTATGTTTGATAGCTCCCAGTTCACACTCAATCTGGGTCTGCTATCATGTCGATCCGACATTCACAAACTTTATGAAAGCAAACTAATATTAGTTTATGTTATAAATGATATAGAGAATATATATATATCTAAAAACAAAACCTTATATGTATGTGTAAGTCTAAATTATTGACCTATTTTCTTATATGTTTGACTAAAATATACACTCTCAAATGGGTAAATAATTAAAATGGTTATGAGATGGAAAATATGACATATTTAGGATGCACGGCAGAAGGTTTTGGTCCAGAAATTAACAAGCCACATTTCTTTTACTATTTGTTTTAATGTACAGCTGTTTTTAGTTAAACCAAATTGTATTGCTTTTTTGTTTAACCTAATAAAAAAATATATTGAATTGGTACGAGTTTGATTATAAATGTTAATAACATTCCTAAAAGTTACGTTTACAAACATAATCATGTATGTACGTAATATATGTCAAAATTTAATACCAAATTTTGGATTTGAAATCAATCCCGCACGTACGTGCGGGTCCGAATCTAGTTTCATAATAAATTAGCGAATTAATACAAGATCCTTATTTTGCTGAAGTTACATAAAAATAAAATCAAATCAAAAAACACAATGCTATTATTTCTTGAACTTAGCCTGTAGATCCATGACAGTCCTAGTATCCAACTGAAACGCCTTCGCAAGAACATTGGGTTGTATTGGTGGGTTAGAACCAAACACAGTGTCCGCAATAACGATGGCACCGGGGTTTTGGCTGCTCAAACCAGCGAATGCAACCGCGGGATATTTCCCAACGTTAGCTTGGAAATGAACGAGTCCTTCTGGAAACACAAACACATCACCTTCGTTGAGTACTTTAGAGAAGAGACGGTTTTCAGGGTTTGACGTGACAAAACCTACTAGAAGTGTTCCATGTGCGACATACAAGATCTCAGAGGCTCGTGGATGGGTGTGAGGTGGGTTCTGTCCGTTAACTGCATAATCAATACGGACAATAGAGATTCCAAGAGTGTTTAACCCTGGAATCTGGTTGACATTGACGAGTGTCACGACAGAACCAGTTTTTTCATTAGGTGTTCCTGCTTTGTTTAGCCCTGACTTAAAGAAGTCATCTACCGTGACGAACTTCGGGTCCTTACAGAACTTCCCGTTCACAAAGACTGAACATTATAGCCAAATAGAAAAAAGTGTAAGAACGTAACGTATATTAATGCATTCTCCTAACCATCAATTACATTTATTGAATAATATTGTTAAAATGATTATTAGGGAGTAAACGTGTACGTACCACCATCAGCTGGGGTGTCAATGGCGACGCAGAAGTCCTGAAGAGGGCTTGGGTCGGAAGCATTGGTTAATGAAAGTGTTATAGCCAAGATAGATAGAAGTGCAACTACATGACATGAGAGACTTTTCATGGTTGTATATATTTAGTTAAAAGCAATTCTTTGGTAGAGAAGAAATGTTTTTGTTAAGATTTTGATGGAGAGATGATGATGATAAACTTATGAGACATTTAAATCTCAATTTATAGATAAGTTTAGGTGTTGAGCTAGTCAGTATACATGGATGAACTTGATGTTTGAAATGGTTAAAAAATATATTCTGATCTAATTGTGTTTCCTCCACAGGATATGGTTATGGTGGTAATAAATAAATTGATTTTGTTTGAATAGTATGAATGAGATATGTCAAGTTTGAACTGGCTATGTTGTGGTCAACAAGTTATAGGTCAAAGGTTTGTTTATTGATTCTTATTTAATTTGTAATGACACTTTAATTATCAATTTTTTTCCTCAAAAAACTACTTTATCAAAAATGAAACTAAAACAAATTCGATCGACTCTCGCACCCCGGACCTGTTCTATCCTACTATTGCCTCTATCGGAGATCTATCATTCTATGGATTCCAAAAAGATTCAAATACTTGTCTGATAATTCAGTCAAAAGTCAATGATCAAATAATCAAATCTTAACATTAATTATGTGATTAAGTTCTAAATTAGGGACGGTTATTGGTTTATTGATTTGTAAATCTATATCAGATTTGAATCTTTCTATTTTTCACTAGAAAAAAATTTTGATGACAAAAAAAAACAATAGAAAAAACTTTCAAATCCATTTAAAACATACTACAAATTTTAAAATCCAAAAACAAATCACTAAACGAATAACATAGAATTTTAATTAGTTTTATTTAAATCATACAACCAATAACACATTATTTTGATAGTTATTTTAAAATCAATAACTAAATAACATATGATTTTTGTTTGGATTTCTAAATTCATTAAACTCCATGAACCAATAACCTTAATCTTCATAATCAAAGGTTGAAATTAATATGTTAGTTAATTCTAAAATCTAAAGCTAAGGTCTTGACTGATTATGGTTTTGTAATGGCTTTTGGTTTCAGTTTTCCAAAAATATATCTTTAGGTATTCAAGATTCCTGGTAAAATTGGATCCCTAAAAAATATGATACGAATTCTTAATAATTTCTTAACAAAAGGGTCTTTCCATTAAAAAAAAAAATCTTTAACAATACATAGTTCTTAAACCAAACTTTGCTATAGAATCACCTCTTTGTTTTTCTATCTATGAAAAAACTTAAAATCAAGTTCATGAAATCACCTGATTTAAATAAATGTTAAAATAACACTTATATATTTCAATCTAAGAATGTTTAATTGTGTATATTTCGTTCTTTGGCCATTAAGACTACACTTCTTCCTCATATTTTCAACCTTATTACGTCTTTGCTTGACTTCATGTGAGTAATATTCGGTTTTACGTATTTTTCCTTCATAAGCAACAATAACTGTTATTGCGGAGAGATCCATTTTACATTTTTCAACCTAACATTACTCACTTTGTAAGAAATAGTTTCATTTTTCCTCCAATAATGACCGATTTTCATACCCAAAATTTCAATATAAGTAAAAATTTTCTTGTGTGAATAAATAAGATACATTGGATTAGTTATATATTTGTTAATGTTGCACTACTACTTTGATAGATTAATGTAAATTAATATGTTTACTTGAAAAATTAAGTTGATGGTTATCCCTAACTTTTTTTTTTGCTTTAAAAAAAAACTTATGTAAACACACGACATTAACATATAATATTTATACAAATCAGAAATGGATTTTCTGTATCTTTCAAGCCAAAATTTAATGTGACTTTTATTGACTTTTATCTTTCAAGCCGAAATTTAAGCCGAAATTTAATGTGGATTTTTTTGTATCTTTCAAGCCGAACTGAAATGGACATTGTACTTCATATGTGTATATATTTTACTATTTTTTCTACAAATTCTAACCTTTTCATCATCATACAAGCAACTAAATTGCATCAAAACGACCTTATTCTTATATTCAACAATAGTGCATATTTCTTCCCAGAATTTATCAATATCAACCTTATTACAAAAAAAAAATGTGATGTACCAAAACTGCATGAACTAAAACAAATCTTCTAAACTTGGTAGCTATAAAATAGTTAGTGTTGATAATCAACACATTTTTCATTCCGCCGAGTTATTATAACAAAATACTCAATTCTTACGGTCGTGACATCTAATTTTTCAATTATAATAGAATACATTTGTCATATTTGTTGAAAAAGTTGAACAAAATAATACATAGTGGCTTCAACTAGTTATATATATGTCTTAGTCCTTATAATGGATTTGAAAATCTTAAACGCAGGGCCGGTCATACATTTTTTATGTTATATATGTTAATTAATATTGTCGACTAATCTTTGCTATATATGTAGTTTAAAAAAATAAGTTTGGTCGTTGATATTACTTGGTAAAATATGATGTGTTCTTGTACGGCAGAGAATTTTATCAAAAGTCAAAGCTGCAACCACAAAATAGGAAAACACACATAAAAAAATCACATTCTTAAAAACTTGTCTTCTTCAAAGAGTTAGTCAAAATACAAAAAAATGGCCCATGCAGGTTTCGAACCTGCGACCTTCGCGTTATTAGCACGACGCTCTAACCAACTGAGCTAATGGGCCATTTGCTTTGTTTCTACAATCATTTTATATAATTTTTAAAACAGTTTGTGTTTTGTTTTTTGTCAAACTTTGTTTGGTCAAAGCCATCATTTCTTATACAATGTATTAGTCAACAAAGATACAATGTTCATATAGATTAGTCAAAAAGTATATGCAAGACAATGTAGAAAAAAGTTGGAGAGGATGGGATATAACATCATCGTGCTTGGTTGGTGTGGTTATGTTTCGTAGTTGTCTCTCCCTTAGAGGCTCACCATCTTCTTTGCTCCAATCTTTTCCAGGTAAACCAAGAAACATTTTGTAATCATATATTATACAAAGATGCTTAATTAGATTAATTTGTACAATTAGTATATGAAACATTCTTGTAATCTGTGAGTTAAGAGTTATAGCTCGTTTCTTGAAGAATCTTTAAGAGTGCTTGGATTTTTCAATTTCTTGTTTAAATAAAGATTTGAGTTTTTCAGTTTAATGAATTCTTGAATTGTCAAGTTTGATTGCAATAGTGGAGTTTTAGATAAGTTTTTTATGTGAATAAAGATGATCCAAGTGCCTTTGTTGTCTTAAAGTGAAGATCAAGTCTTCTGATCAGTTCAATGGCTCAATTGGTTTCTGTGTTGTGGTTGAATTTGCTTAGGAAAAATCCTTATGGCTGCATCTGTGAGCAACACCGCTTCGAAAAAGCTTATTCAAATCGATGTAAGCTCGGATTCGGTGTGTCCATGGTGCTTTGTAGGCAAGAAGAATCTTGACAAAGCCATTGATGCATCTAAAGATCAATACAACTTTGAGGTTACCTCTCTCACTCTCTTTTATCTTGTTTACTTGGAGAATGCTTGAAATGCTTACGGTATTCATCTCTCGAATATAGATTCGATGGCGTCCATTTTTCCTTGATCCATCTGCACCAAAAGAAGGTGTGAGTAAGAAAGAGTTTTATAGACAGAAGTATGGAAACAGATATGAAGGAATGTTTGCTAGAATGTCCGAGGTTATATTCACTTACCGATTCTTTAACATAGCTTATATGTTCTTGTTGAGAGGATCTTGACATCATATTTGGATTCATTACAGGTCTTTAAAGGTCTTGGCTTAGAGTTTGACACATCCGGTCTCACGTAAGCACCAAAGAGTTTTTTCTTTTCATTTATCAAGATTGAAGAGATTTGTCTTTTGGTCTATTTTGTCTAAATGTTTTCTGTCTATAAGAACAGTGGCAACAGTCTTGATAGTCATAGACTAATTCATTATGCGGGTAAACAAGCGCCCGAGAAACAGCATAATCTTGTTGAGGAATTGTTTATCGGTTACTTCACGCAGGGGAAGTACATTGGTGACAGGTAAAATGTGTGAAACAGTTATGTTTTGTGATATATAAGCTTGAAGTATCCTTAGAACTTAACTGGACAAAGAAACTCGATAACCTTGGTGCTGAACTTCAGGGAGTTTTTGGTTGAGACGGCTAAAAAGGTTGGGATAGAAGGAGCAGAAGAATTACTCTCAGACCCTAACAATGGAGTCACAGAGGTGTGCTTTTCTAAATCATGTGATCATTAGTGTATGTTCTGTAGGATTAATGATGAATGTTATGTACTGTTCTGAACATTTTTTATATTGATAGGTGAAAGAAGAGCTTGCAAAGTATTCGCAAAATATCAGCGGTGTTCCAAATTACACGGTAAGTTTTCGCGCTACATATCGATAGCCTTTATAAGATCATGGCAAAGCTCTAGTTAGAGTGAAACAGACCACCATTTGCATTGTGTCCTTAGTCTTAGTTTTGTATCTTTACTTTGTAGTACTGTTTGTTTTCAGATTAACGGGAAGGTGAAACTGAGTGGTGCACAACCGCCCGAGACATTCCAGAACGCGTTTAAAGCGGCCTCAGCTTGAAATAACAAACAGTGAACTCAAGAGTTGTTGAAGTATTTATGTCCATGGAGATTGTCTGCTTCTTTTGTTTGAACTTTAAGTTTTGACTTTTTCAATAAGTTGGTGTAATAAGATAGATTTGGTCTTTGATGGTTTGCCTAATAATTCAAACAAGTTGAATATAAAAACACAACATTCCTCCTCTTGTTCAGATGAAAAAAGATATTGAAAGATTCATACTTTTTTCTCATTCCAATAACCTTCTTGAAGATAAATGTATATATATGAGTCTATAAAATTAGGAGACATCACAAATTCTCATATTTACTGTTAACAATGACATCTGGATATTCACAGAAGTTTTATGTACAAGTGATTTCTCTCTGTTTATTTCTCTATAGAGCAGGACTCAACTCCTTTTTTTGTTTCTTTGAGCAAGTCTTTATTACAATGCTAAGAAGTTTCATTTTCATCAAATGCCATCACCTGAAAGATAAGATTGATATAATTAGCTAAGGATGCATTAACTTATGTTATGGTTTATATGACCAAGAATAGTATGAGAACTGGACCAGTCTACTCATCAATGCAATAAATGTCAATGCTTAGAATGGAGATGAGAAATTCTAATACAAAATGATGCACTTTTAATATCTATGAAGGAGACTGATGGAACATTCAACCAAATTTGAAGTTTGAAAATTGTAAGAAAGCGACGAGTTACCTTTCCACAGACAGGGCAAGTTTCACTTCTCTCCATCCATTCAAAGATACAGCTAAGGTGGAAATGGTGAGAACACTTGGTTATTATCTTTGGATTCTCTGGTGTGTAATCTGCACATTGTATAAAACAAAGAATTCTGAATACCAATCTTACATCAAAGCACACGATTTCTGTATCTACGATATTTGATGAAACTATCCTAAGAACTAAGACTATTAATGGCCTAAATTGCTCAGGAGTGCATTAAATGAAGAAATGAAACCAAGAATGCAACTTATAAAGATATACTAACAACCTAACACACTCATTTATCACGCAAACCAGAAAACACTGCATAGAATGGGTTCAAAGAGGATAATAACAGTATCAAACTAGTTTTTTTAGTTTTACCATCAAGGCAGGTTGGACAAATATCTTCATCATCCGATTCTGCATAATAATTTTCTATTCCAGGCATTGTTTTCGACTTTGCAACGGTTGATGAACCTTTCGAGTACAATTCTTTTGAACCATCTTCACAATCAGACTTACTCCATTTGGCTCCCCCAACCAAAGCTTCAGAACTCATTTCAGTATCACCTCTTAATGGTTCTGATTCTTCACCTGAATGGCCTGAGCCCTTAACGAAACGAAAATACCTAGGATCAGCATCGTAAGGCAATGGTCTTGGAGGAGAATGGTACACATTAGACAGAGAGTCATCAAGTGCAGTTGTGGAATTCATCACTGTAGCAGCCTCAACAGTTGAAGGTATTGGATGCATTCCACCTCTATTAACTAACGAAGCATACTGCAAACAAAGGTAGACCTTAAGTTTCCACAAAAACCAGAACTGCTAATTCATGATTCTGATGGAAGTATTATTGCTAATTCACTAGAGAGGAGCACATGATCCAAGGAAGAAGGTGGAAAGAACATACCAAATCCATGAAACTCTGGAGGAAACAATTTAGGCATGAACAATTCCTAGTCATGGAAGTGTTTGGATTCACATAACTCTCAAAGAGATCAACTTGGAAACAGCAACAGAAAGAGCCCATATCTTCAAAAACTCAATACTCCCAAACTCAAGTTTTCAAATTTCACAGAGAATGAGAGAGGAACCCAATTTCACAGAAGTTTTCTCACTGCCTCCCGCAAACCAGAATCCTCTCTCTCTTCTTTAAGTGCAAAACTCTTGTTCCTACAGAGTTGAATCACCTGTAATAGAAACACATAAAAAAAAATCACACTTTCCAAAAACCCAAATGAATAACAAACTTGAATCAGCTAATAGCCTAATACACATCACAAAAAGTGCAACAAAACAATTCTAAAGATTCATCCTTTCGAAAGCATCCTTTAAAAAGGATCAACCTTTCAGTTCAATCAGAGATGGAAACAAAATACAAAAGAATCATTAGCTCATCGAACAAGGGTTTTGGAAACCGATCATAGATGATCAAGTATTGAATTGGTATTCAAAATCCTTTGATCATCAAAGACAATTGTTTTCAAAAACAGAGGAATCGAAGAGTACCTTTGAAAGAGATAGAAGCCTGAGAGAATCCAGAAGCAATGAGAAAACAAACCCAGAGAAATTTTCCGGTAATAAATTTAATCTGTTGACTAATTCTTAAAAAATTGAAGATTTTTCAGGTTTCTTCGAAAAAGTGCAGAATGATTTTCCCGGAATATTAGCGATCCTTCCTCTCTCTCTTTTTCTCTCTTTCTCTTTGTCTTCTTCTACCTTTTTGATCCATAGCTTTCTTTTTGGTCGAAACTCAACAAAACAGAGTTTCAGAAACCGTCCCTTTTGTTTTACATATTTTTACTTTTGACCCTAAATGTTTTGATTATGTAAAAGTTGTCCGTTTAAGTTCAATTGTTAACTATTGCAGCGACAATGTTAAAGTTCACTTTGTCAATCTACCAAGAAGAAAGTGTGACGAGATACAGAGGATTGCACTTATTAAATAGCAACAATCAAATCTATTTTATATAGTTGGAATTAGGTATTTGTGTTCGCATTTTTAAATCAATATTTCACCAAAACATAAGCACACAAACTTTTGAAATAGTCACTAACAACAAAATGTCGTTTGAGTTTAACAACTTGTGAGTATCCTAATTAATAGTATCATGAATGTGCCAACCTTGATAAGGTCAGTTGCTCTAAACTTATCTCTACACCTGAGTACCCAAAATTGTAATAATCTCAAATGGTTGTTCTTGTTGCAAAGACCCCTCATTATGTGAGAGAAACCAAGTATCGTCTTCAAGTTTAACTACCCACCTTGGCAACTTTTCTCTTCTCGGTTTGTCCCGACAAGGGGCACTGCATCTCTGTCCAACTTATAGGAACCATTGTTTCGCCTGCGCAATCACCACACCACAGAAAACTATTTTATTACTCCAAGGGAAATTAACTTCGTAACGCATAAACGAAGAAGCAAATGCATCTCCATACTAATAAACTATTAGTTGGAAATGTATTACACTGATATGTGAAAGATCAGCTATAGACTTAAGAGTAGGAATGAAAAGAATGTACCTGCAGCACTTTCTGCTGAGACCACACCAAGTTCATTCTTAGCAGTCGACAAATAGTAAGCCCGTGCATCACCAAGAGACAGCTTTAAGAGTCCAGGTTAAGGAAACTTCAGTCGTTATTCCCCAAAACATCATACTTTTAAATTATACGCTAACAAGGTGTGTGAGCTAAAAGAGGATATGGATGGCATAATGTAACAAATCTTTAAAATGTGTTTCCTCTATAAGCGATGTTAAGCACTGGCTGGCTCTTACATCACAAAGCTAAACTGTAACAAAACCTAGCCAATTCTAATAGACAAAAAGTGTGAAACGTGATAATATCTTAGGTGCGCAAAGGATACAACCATAGCCCTAACAATGTCACCAGCATGGAAAGACTGATGCAAGTCAACTTTGTCAATCTCTGTTGCTCTAACATCTTGTTGCCTATGAAAGAGTAAACACAAGTTAGATTGACGATTTTAAAAGACTAAACCATGAATATAAACAACAAGGAGCAGTAGAAATTCCCACCTGATTACCCCAGCAAAATTTTCACGAACGGCCTTTGGACCAACACACAAGATATCAACAGCAGCCATCCGAGCCATAACTTTAGTCACCTATCAAAATAACAGAGTATTAGAGTTCAAAAATTACATTTTTCTTGTTGCAGGGACATCAATGAATCCATAAGTGCAGGACTCACTCTTGCTATGACAACAGAACCAGGCTCTGGTATAGGACCATGAGCCTTGTGACCCGTAACTTCCACAGTAGCTCTCTGCTTGCCATTGTTAAGATCAAATAAGTTATATATCCATTAACAATCACAAAAACAAGTATAACAATCCAAAGATTTCGATTTCAATTACAAATAGAAACCAAAAGTTAACAATCCAACGATTTTGATTCTTAGAGGATTCAGAAAGCCATATCAATGTAACATAAGAACCAATCACTTGAAAACCTTGGAACAAAGCACGAACCTTGTCAAGTGATTCAGGAAGAGGAGAAACAATCCGACGAGTTCCTGTGAGGGAAGCGTAGATGGTTGTATCGTTGACGTAAGCTCCTTTCCCAGCTTTAAACTCAGTTGCTTTCCCGATTACATCTCCCGGCGTTACTAGCTCCGTCGTCATAGTTTCAAAATTTTCCGATTTGAGACTGTGAAAAACAAAACCCTAGGAAACTGGGGTTTTTGATCGACAAATTTAACCAAAAAAATCCGGGAACAGTCCTTTAAGTTTATATAAATTTAATGTTGACCCAAATAGTTTTCATTGGAAGTTTAAGCTGCTCTGATTTTGACCTATATATTTTTTAATTACACAGTCCGACCCGGATACACCTAATACCCGAGCCTGACCCGGTTAATTTTTCAAATCTAGGAGTTTTCAAGTTTCAACAGTCGACGACACTTGCAGAAAAAATTCGAGTTTGATTCCTTGGAATTGAAAACAAAAATCCAATAAACAAGCGGGATCTTCAATTTTGAAATCTCTCTATCCAGATCCATCTCCGTCACAATCTTCCTCTTTCCGTCACCGGAGCCGGCGAAGTTACTCTTCGTGATTTCAGATCTGTTCGTATACTACTTCTTCATCATCTCGCTTGTGTTCGTTCATTGAATTATTCAATTCGCTCTATTGATTGAGTTCTCGCTTGATTTGAGTAACCTAGGTGTTTCGGTACGTTTCTGTTCTGAATGTTTTGGGTTTGAGGAAAAAGACGCGAAGCATGAGTGGTAAATTGGGAAGTTTCGTGAAGATTTGAGGGATTGGGTTTAGGTATTGTAGTTGTAGAGAGAATGCAGAGTTTATCGAGTTCAGCTCCGACACCGGAGGCGATATTAGAATGGTTACAGAAGGAAATGGGGTATAGGCAATTAGGGCCGTATAATGGATCAAGTAAATCTCATGTTCCTTCCATTGATGCTATTAGGAAGATTTGTAGAGGGAATATGATACCTGTTTGGAATTTTTTAATAAACCGGGTGAAATCGGAAAAGACAGTGGAGAGAATCAGGCGGAATATTACGGTTCATGGAGGAAGTAGTAATGCTGCTAGTGTTGGGAGTTCTGTGAATCCTGGGAAGGAGGAGAACAAGGCCAAAGGAAGACGGAAGGAAAAGGCAGTGACTGGGGAAAGTTATGCAGAGGGTAGAGAAGCTGCTTTGCAGGAAAGGGAAATAGCTGCAAAAGAAGTGGAGAGATTGAGGAACATAGTGAGGAGGCAAAGAAAAGACTTGAAAGCTAGAATGTTGGAGGTCTCTAGGGAAGAAGCAGAACGGAAGAGGATGCTTGATGAAAGATCAAATTACAGGTTTGATTTTAATCTTAATTTTGGATACAGTATTCTATTACTTTGCTTCTCACTTGTAAGAGAATACAATAGAACATACCTGCACCTCTCAGCTAAGTTCATATACTTTCTCCTGCTGTGATTATGCGTTATTATCACTAGTCTTATGTCCCCAGTAGAACCGATTTAGGTTTAGTTTTTTTATCTGTGCCATGATTAGCTGGTTAGAGTTTGGTGATATTTCGTTCCCATTCTCTGTGATTGAAGCAGCAATATATATATAGCCCTAAAGTATTATGTTTTGTTTTGTTGATTCTCCAATAATCTCGATGGGATATATATATACCCTCTAGATGGAATAGATGGGATTTTTTCAGGCTATTTTGCTGCTTTGGTTCCATAGATATGCCACATCAACCGTTCTTAAGTTTGTATGCATTCTTGGTGATGTTGATTTTGATCTGCCCATTTCTTGAAACTTATCTGCAGCATTTATCTCTGTTGAAATGCATTGACATTGTTGATACAACAATGGAAATCTTTGTTTCTGTTATGTTCAGTAGATCTTTCGAATTGTTTGGTGAGTTTTTATTTCTTTGCCTTTTTCAGACATAAGCAAGCATTGTTGGAAACTTATGATCAACAATGCGACGAAGCAACAAGAATATTTGCAGAGTATCACAAAAGGTTACAAGTCTATGTTAATCAAGCAAATGATGCACAACGGTCTGTCAATTCGTCAAATGAAGTGTCAAGTAGCCTCAGTGCTAACAGTGAGAGGGAAGCTGTTTATTCCACTGTCAAAGGATCTAAGTCTGCAGATGATGTCATTCTCATGGAAACAACCCGAGAGCGAAATATCAGGATAGTTTGTGATTTGCTTGCATCACACATGATTGAAAGAATTCGTAACTCTTTCCCTGCATACGAAGGAAATGGAATTTGCTCACAGCCTGAGCTGGAAACAGCCAAGCTCGGTTTTGAATATGATGGAGAAATAACTGATGAGATGAAAACTGTTATAGTAAATTCCCTGAGGGGTCCTCCTCTGCTGCTTCAGGCTATCGCTGCATACACTCTACGTATTAAGACCCTGATATCCAGAGAGATGGAGAAGATTGATGTCAGAGCAGATGCTGAAATGTTAAGGTGACTCCTGACTTTCCCTCCAATGCCACATTCTGTTTTTATGCACTCCTAATTCTGCAGGGTGTGGTTCACCCAAATGCACCGTGCATGCTATTTTTGCTAATATTCTTGACATTGAATGGGAAGATTATGAAACTCATATAGCAATTTAGTACTCTTTTCTGAGTTTGATGCTGCTAGCTTGTATATAAACTTATTTTGATCTGGTGGATATGAGCTGTTCCTGAGCTTCCTTTAAAATATGGTTGATCAGTGATTATTGTATCTATCTCTTATAAGTTTTCAGTTTTGAATTTATCATCTCTGCTGTCTTAAGTTCTTGTTCCAGGGTTGATTTGGACTAACATAAACAATTGGATGTCAATTTATTTACAGGTATAAGTTTGAGAATAACCGGGTAACAGACAATTCTTCTTCTGATGTGAGCTCGCCTTTGAGTTATCAGTTTAATGGTAATGGGAAGATAGGCACAGACACACATTTCCAAGGATCTAACAATCAGCTCCTTGAACGGCAGGTTATTTTCTTTGTCTAGTTTTGCTGGTTCTTCTTGTTAATTTGAACATACAGTGAAAGGAGATTTATCATTTATGCTTCAAATTAACTAAATGTTTAATTCAGACAGATATATTTGGTGTGGTCATCCAGTGTTGTATTTGTATGTGTTGCACTGTATGGCCATATGTTTAAAGTTTGTTTATCTTACCTTTCACATGTGCTACTTTTTCCAGAAAGCGCATGTTCAACAATTTTTGGCTACGGAAGATGCACTAAACAAAGCGGCTGAAGCTCGTGATTTATGCCACAAATTTATTAACCGTTTGCATGGAGGTGCTGATGCAGCATCACATTCGTTTTCTGGAGGCACAACACAGAGTGGTAGCAATCTTAGGCAATTTGAGGTAGATGCCGCCCTTGGTTTTCTCCTTTTTGAATCTAAAAAAACCTTGATTTCGTAATTTTGGTACTTTCACTTGAATCTAAAAAGAGTAATCATGTTATTGTACAAATCTACAATTAAAACACTCTTACAACTGTTATGTAGCAGGCACTGCATAACCGATTCATTGTATGTGTTATATACATGCTGATATACGTGCTTGAATATGTTATCCAATTTTTCCGTCGCAGTTGGATGTATGGGGAAAGGAAAGAGAAGCTGCTGGTTTGAGGGCTAGCTTAAACACACTGTTATCTGAAATACAACGGCTGAATAAATTATGTGCAGAGAGAAAAGAAGCTGAAGATTCCTTGAAAAAGAAGTGGAAGAAAATTGAGGAATTTGATGCGCGCAGATCCGAACTTGAAACCATATATACAACTCTTCTCAAGGCCAACATGGTAATATCCCAACTGATTCTTTCATTGAATGATTAACTGATAATTACTATGGGAAATACTCTGACCTTTTTTTATATAGGATGCTGTTGCATTCTGGAATCAGCAACCACTCGCTGCAAGGGAATATGCATCAGCAACTGTAATTCCAGCTAGTGAAGTTGTTGTGGACATTTCAAACAGCGCAAAAGATTTCATTGAGAAAGAAGTGTCTGCTTTCTTTCAGAGTCCTGATAATTCTCTCTATATGCTTCCGGCTACTCCACAGGTATGTAAATTGTCAGCTGACATTCTGATGATTTTAGCTATCCATTTCTGCATGATACAAGTGCATTATAGTTCAATTGTAAGATATATTTGACTGATAATTGAAGACTGATGTTTGTTGAATTATATGTTCAAGTTCTCAAGTTTTTTTTTTATCTGTAAGTCAAATAATCATACATCATAGAAGAAATTGGGACTTTATGGTTCAAGCAACATTTTGCTGGTCACATGATGTACCGGAATTAGTGTTCTTTCAAATGAGCAAACTGGCATATAGATGCCTTGATTCCATCAAATTATATGAAATTCTTCTTAAACAGGGACTTCTAGAGTCTATGGGAGCTAATGGATCAACAGGACCTGAAGCAGTTGCCTATGCAGAGAAGAATGCTGCTCTATTAACTGCAAGAGCTGGTGCAAGAGATCCATCAGCAATTCCATCTATATGTCGCATTTCTGCTGCCCTTCAATATCCTGCAGGTGAGATTCTTTTTTTTTTCTTTTTAAACACCCAAGAATGTATAGTTCATCCCTCTGGAAAGGTTAATGTGTATTGAATCCCAGTGTCAAAAATCTTCCTAATGAAACCATTGCCCACTGCCTCATGTATTACAGTGTCTTTCAATCCAATGGAAAATCAAACAAAACAAACATAGGAAGAGTTTTTCTAAGCATTGTTGTTTCATCAACCGACCACGTAGATTGAGATCCTATATTAGAATAGCCAAAATGTTTCATGATGGCCTCGACTTAGCACCCGCTGTATCTGCTATGGGTTTCAAGCATAGAAAGTAGAGCACCTTAATATGAAATACTGTCATAGGCCAAAATTCTTAGTGGCTTCTTAGTAGGATTTGATTATAATCAATATTCTTGCTTCTTAAATAGGTATGGAGGGTTCAGATGCAAGCTTGGCCTCAGTTTTAGAGTCTCTTGAGTTCTGCTTAAGAGTTCGTGGTTCTGAAGCATGTGTTTTAGAAGATTTAGCAAAGGCAATCGATTTGGTCCATATACGGCAGGATCTAGTAGAAAGTGGCCATTCTCTGTTAGATCATGCTTTCCAAGCCCAGCAAAAATATGAAAGGTAAGGCATATTACTCTGTACTCTGGAATACACATATCTTATTTATGTTCCCACGCTATTCTATATTCCCATGTAAATTTTCAGTGTACTAACTATGTATCTTGTATGCAGAACAACTAACTACTGCCTAGATCTAGCTTCTGAGCAAGAGAATATAATATCGGACCAATGGTTGCCTGAACTTAGAACTGCGGTCCAGAATGCTCAAGCTTCCTCTGAGCACTGCAAATACGTCAGGGGATTGGTATGGAACTACTTCTAACTATCATTCTTGCATGCTTAATATGGTGCTGATGATGACTATCTTAACGCATTTTCACGTGGACGTTCTTAGCCATATGGCTCAAAAGTATGGCTTGTCTGAACCATAAAATCTGCCTGACAGTGTTTCCGTGATTTTTGTTTTGTTTTTGGGATTTGTAATCCTTCTTACGGTTGGTGCTCTTTAAGCTTACCTTTTGATTTAGTCTCCATTATAAATAGTTAATTTAAGTTTTCATCAGAAAATTATTTACAAAATTGCAATTCAAGTTATGTTTTCCAATCTCTTTATTGTCTGTGATATATTGTACTAAAATCCTAATTACCTCTTTTTTAGTTCTTCGTTACATCCTTTCACATATGAAGCTTGATAAGATATTTGTTTTTGTACCCTTTCACATATGAAGCTTGATAAGATATTTGTTTTTGTACCCAATGCAGCTTGATGAATGGTGGGAACAGCCTGCAGCAACAGTTGTGGATTGGGTAACTGTAGATGGTCAAAGTGTTGCAGCTTGGCAAAACCATGTCAAACAGCTTCTTGCCTTTTACGATAAAGAATCATTACGAACGTAGAAAAAATAAAACCATGGTGCCTCTCTCAGTTCTCTTTATACACACTGGTGAATCTGATCTTCAACAACAATGTTTGCAAAGTGGGAAAACTCGATTGTGCAGTTTGTAAAGAAAATGGTAACTCTTCTTCTCTGTTAACAACCGTTTCTCCTTGTGTGTGTCGTTATAGTTCCCCAGGTTTTATTTTTACATCATTGCGGGAAACTCATGTCTTTCGCCATCCGTGTTTTGTGGGTTTTTTATAAGTATTTCCGTGTTTTCTGATTCTCTTAATCAGTCATGTATCACGAGCTTTGTGTTTCCATACATTCTTAGCTAATATGAATCAGGTTTCTGCAACTTTGTAAGCCTTTTTTTTAGTTTAGCTTCGATCTTTGAATGTGAATGTTTAGAGATAGAGACTGTTGCCAACTACTTCTTGTTGTGTACAACGGTCGTGAGGGTTTTGAGGAATACTCTTCAACATTAAACTCTCGTGAAGATTGGATTATGTTGGTCTTAACTCAGACGACCCTTAGTGTAGTTGAGTGAAGTTACCAAACGAAAATTTAATTAGGTACACATTTATAAATTTAGAGAATCAATTACCAATTTTTTTTTTTTTAATATTCAAAGATTAGTTACGAGAAATTAGAGTAAACTATATCATAAACAAACGGATAAATACAAAGGCTTTTTGTTATCCTGTTCCTTGTCTTCCCAGAAACTGAAAACAATAATGATGGATCACGAGACAGAAAAGAACAAAAACACTTTTTGAAGAAGGCATGTTTCAGTGTCTTGTAATAATATCATCAGAGTAAAAACAAAACCACGTTCAACTCTAAAGCAGAGCTCCAAAAAAAATGTCTTCTCTTCTCATCCTCATCTTCATTGTCTCAACCATAACATTCAGTAGTAGTTATTCTTCAGTGGCTACAACTCTACCTGGCACTGTCCATCGTAAGGACAACAAGATCTTCTCGGTTTCAGGTATCATCACCACAAACTGGTTTTAGTATTTAGAAACTTTTCTCCTTACTATATTGAGAAGTTTTTGTTTTCTTCTTTGTGGATTTGTGCAGGTGAGCTTGATTGCACCAGATTCAGACAGGAGACAAAAGGTCATCACAGAGAATTTCAGGTTTTGTGTCCTTTCTCTGAGGTGAGATGTGCAAAGACTAGACGGATTCTGAAACATATTAGGCAAGCAAGAAGAAGAGATCATCGACACAAACAGAAGAGATCACCAAGACACCTGCAAAACAAAGCAAAGTCAAACAAAAACCCAAAAGACAAGAAGTTATTTTTCCCACCTCCATTGTTTTTTCCTCCAAACCCGTTTGCGCCACCTTCGATTTTTCCTCCAAACCCGTTTGCTCCACCTTCGATTTTTCCTCCAAACCCGTTTGCACCGCCACCTTCGATTTTCCCCCCAAACCCGTTTGCACCACCACCTTCGATTTTCCCACCTAATCCATTTCGGCCACCACCACCTTCGATTTTCCCACCCAATCCGTTTCAGCCACGGCCACCGCCACCTTCTATTTTCCCTCCAAACCCGTTTCAGCCTCCTCGTGCTCCACCTCCATCAATATTTCCTCCAATATTTCCTCAGCCTCCTCCTGCTCCTCCACCATCAATATTCCCTCCAAACCCATTTCAGCCTCGTCCTCCTCCACCTCCTCCCACTCCTCCATCAATATTCCCTCCAAACCCGTTTCAGCCTCGACCTCTTCAGCCTCCTCCCGCTCCTCCATCAATATTCCCCCCAAATCCATTTCAGCCTCGACCTCCTCAGCCTCCTCCCCCTCCTCCATCATTATTCCCTCCAATATTTCCTCAGCCTCCTCCAGCTCCAGCTCTTCCTCCTCCATCAATATTCCCTCCAAATCCATTTCAGCCTCGTCCTCCTCTTCCCTCTCCCCCTCCGCCATGGTCTCTCTTTCCTCCACTGCCACCAATCTTTCCAGGCTTCAATCCACCACCGCCACCTCCTCCTCCCCCTCCTCCACCCCCATCGATCTTTCCATTTCCTCCATTCCCATTCTTCCCACCACCACGCAACCCTGGCCCTCCTCCTGGTTCATCTTCTTCAGCAAACAAGCAGCCTCCTTAATTGAACAAGAGTATCATAATATATACACCAAACATTTACATATCTGTTGAGAGATAAACTATCTGTTGTATATGATAGTCATATTTACATAAGGGTAAAGAATAAATATGAGTTTTTAACTTCTACAGAATATTGCATCTGTTCCTGAACATATAGATCTACATATTAAGGCTCATATCAAATTTACTTCTCCGAAAACTCTCTTCTATCAAATCAAACTCACTCCATGATCTAGACATATCATTAATCACAACAATTACAAGATATTTCCCCAGTTATTAGTTTGTACTACTAGTTTGAGTACATCAGTGTGGGAAAGAAAAGGCAAGAAGTTATATATCTAAGAGACTTGAAAATATGCTATTAAACGGAGAAATCTCTGCTTATGGATTTCTGAAAGTTGCTACATCTCTTATTTTCTGCTTAGTCATTACTATATCATGGGAATAGTTGCAGTTTGACAGAAGTAGCAGATCACAACTAAATACACCAGTCTAAACCTACTGATACCTTAAAAAGAATTGAACCCTACTAGCTGATAACAAAATTATCAAACAGTAATAAAGTTGAAACTAGAAAACCAGGTTTTTTATTGTCTTATTCTCTTCGGAGAATTACTTAGGTCTTTGTAGTAGCTTCTCGTTTCAGTAGGAGAATTCCCTTCTTCATCCGCGATTCTATCACACTTATCCTAGCAAAGTAGATAAAAACATCAAATACAAATTCGGATTAACAGGCCTAAATATATAAGAATCAATTGCAGTTGTGCATAGTAGTGAACTTCTTTTCCAATGTAAAAAATACCATAGGCATACCTCAGAAGCAAAAGCAGTAACAGAATACTCTCGATCTGCTCTTTTCCGAAGGCTTAACTGCACAGAAATCACAGTCTCTGACATGTTGACACCAGATGACTTAAACGCTTCAGTCAGTGTGTGTAGTACCCTGTCAAAATTAAATTAAAAGCTTCCATCAAATATATCCATCTAAATTTCCTCCAACTGTTCCATTTTAGAACCATGAGTCTGTTCAACGTACAGTAGCAGTTAGGATCTTTGCGTACCTAACAAATCACCACCTATTTAAGAGGAATAGCACTATTCCAAAGAGAGAATTTGAATTATGGTTATACCTAGGCAACTTCTGTAAGAGTTCCTAGAAAAGCCATAAGTTTTACACAGGCAGGAAATGACTTTACATCCTTAACTGTAAACTAACTCACACTTCCTATTAAAGACAATGGATTAATTAAAGAACAAACAAAATCTTTCTTTCCACATAAATCTTACCTTTGTGAACAGACAGTGGACAAGCTGGGTGATGTTTTTTCGTCCGAGTTTACCAATTCATTTGTATTACAAGTAATTGATCCACAGCTTGGTTTTGGCTGCCAAAAGTCATGCTGAACAAACTGCGAAAAAGGCTCGGTAGGTACATAACATGAAACTGCTGAAGTAGGACTGTGTTCAAGAATCTTGGTACTAACTGCTGAGTCGATATCAGAATCCAAAGAATTTTGCATATCTAAGAGCAAACCAGAGGAAGCAGCAACTTTATCATAACTTGAAACGATTTGAGGATGGTCACCAATCTCAACAACAGACCCATGACTATTTCTCTGCATCAAAGTTACATGAAACAGTTATCAAAAAGACCACTACAGACAAGAAAAAAGAAACCAACCAAAGATAGGAGAATGAATATACCCAAGGAATCAATTTGGTTGGGGTTTGACACCACAATTGTTGAGAACCTTCATACATCTGAACTTTTTCTTGAAGAAAGTGAATATACTCTATAACCTGATGAAACAACATAAAAGCACAAAAACTGATAAAACATGATTCTGATTCTGAAACACATGTTATGTTCAAAAGCTATACATTTCCTAACCTCTAATAAGAAAGAAGCTTTATCTCGTTTCTGATCATTCTGATTCTGAGGTATAATCTCCATTAAACTCTGAAACCTGTATCACCAAGAATCATAAATTATGGAAAGCTTCTACCTTTTATGACCCATTTAAGGAAAATAGATAAAAATCTAAACTTTTCGAAAATTTCAGTAACCTTTCATTGATTTTGCTTCTTCTTCGTTGCTCTGTCTCTGAATGTTTCGATCTACCCGAGCTTCGATTTCTCCTCCCTGTTGAAGAATCGTTTCGAGAAGGCAAGTTACTGTATACGTCGCCGTCTAATTGCTCATCTAGGTCAGGAGAGTTCATAGTTCCTAGTAAGTAGGAAGAAATCGACACTCCGGCGAGACGAAAACTCCGGCGAACGAACGAGAGAGACTGTGATTAAGGGGAAAAAGGAAACGAGCGTTAGAAACGAGCGTTAGAAACGAGCGTTAGAAACGAGAAAGGCCTAAGATGAAAGAAATATTGTGAGAGGAGGCCCAAAGGCCCAATTAAAAAACGGATAAGGCCTAAGACAAGCTGTAAGGTTGATAAATTATGGAATGTGAATTTTCGAGTAACAAAAGCATAATTAAGAAATTTGAATAGCTCACTTCAATTTTTTAATTCTCACTGTTTTGTATAAAGATTGGCTTTGGGAATGATAAGGGTTCACTTACAGATTGGTATTTAGTAAATTAATGTAAATATGATAATGTAAAGTAAAACTAAGGTCTTAAATGGTTGTAGTTTTTCAAATGGTTTTTAATTTTAGTTGTACCAATGAATATTTTTGAAAAACCAAAATTTTTTAGATAAAAAAAATGATTCTAGCTTTGAAGTGTATTTTAACAATTTTTCAAAGACAACCCATCACATTATTATTAATTTTTCATTTTTTGTGCAAAGAAAAATATAAATCCATCAAACTAAAACTAAAGAAACTTTCATTAAGTTAAAATAAAAATAAAAAACTACACCCAAAATCAAAACCGAAAACCAAAATCCAAAAACCATTGTGAGTAGGTCAAGAAGGTCAAGACCAAAAACTAAATAAACTATTATTCTATTTGTTGTCGTAAATAATACCATCATGACTTCAACGCGGCGTTGTTGGTTGTGATTATGTAGGATCAATGTCATTAACGCAACCACATGTAGCAGGATAGTCAAAATCAAACAGAAACCCAGCACTAACTTCATCTAATAAACGTCAAATAGTGTATTCTTGTGGATGCCTACGGGAAAAAAAACAAATGGCTATACATTGTTTGAAAAATTTATTCACCATTTTAGAAATAATTAATTATATGACTAGTGTTCATAGATTAAGTTAAGAAAATGTGAAAAAAATATATATATATATATTGACGAGTATCGAGCTAGCCATGGAGGTTGAGCTTATATAAGACTTTTGGATCAATGTGCCCGAATGAGAAGAGATACTCAAACATGAGGAAGTATTTTTACAGATTTTTTTTTTGTTTCGCTTTTTTGTGATTTGGAGGTTTTCAACCAAAATCTTTTTAAAAAAAACTCCAAAAATAATTTTAATAACTACAAATATTCATTGTATAAGTTTCATTAACTCAGTTTCTTCTCAATTGGTCAAGAACTTGCATATACAAGTTTAATTATTTCTTTGAATCCCTTCACCATGCATTTACCTTTTCTTTTTAGCTCCAAATCCACTATATTGCTTTTGCCCTTCGGCCCTCTTTGCTTCCTTATATTTTCCACATGATTATGCAAATCCGTTACAGCTCGTCTATCCATTATGTTCATCTTAGAGAGTTTTGTAAGGGTCTTATGAGCCAAATGACATTTTTCTAACTAACTTTTCATATATCCCAGCTAATCTAACAAGGAAGTATATATAGACTTCCACATTGAACCCATTGGAATTTAGAAAAGTTGAAGAAATTATGTACGTACAAAAAGGTCGGACTTTTCTTATTTTTATTGTCATGTCCTAACTTGTTCTGAATAACCCACATTTTGTTTGATTATTACCAATATAAATTTATCAATATTAACTTATTTAATATATTTAATATGGAAAATCATTAGTTGTGGTTGATTTTATTACATGTGTTTGCAAAAGTAGACCATTAGGTTATAATAAAGCAGTATTGAATAAATTTTCCGGATCGAACTCGGATTTGATGAGAAAGCAGCAGAGGTGAGAACCACTAGCACAGTTGCTCTTTTTTTTTCTTTATATCCTTTAGACTGAAGATCAAAGCATAGAATATAAACTTATATAGTATCTTTCCAAATATCACATCAAGAAGTGACCTCAAAGTTTTATACGTGGTGCTCTTTTTGTCAAGATTTGACTAAAAGATATATCCGTTCCATCTTTACATCATGTTTATATCATTTCAATAATAATTATGTATTTTAGGTTTAACTATTTGTTATGTTGTTTGTTCTTTTATTTGATATACATGTTATTATTGAATGGATTGGGTAAAATAACAATATAATTTTTTTAAATTGATTAAACAAAAAAGAGATAAATCATTTGTTTGGTACTGAATACAAACTTATTATAATCTTTTTAGATCCTTTTATAAATAAAAATGATTTACTTTTAAAATAAGAAAAATGTGAATAGCATTTCTTCAAATATAAAAACACTATTCAATCATTTATATTGAAAATGAAATAGAACCACCATCGATAATTTAATTTTTCATATCATTCATCATCTTCAAAATTAAAGAAAAGTGAATGAAAAAAAAGTAGTATGAAACAGTATTAGATACTCCCTCCGTTCCTAAAAGATAATTTTTTAAGATTTTTCACACATACTATTAAGAAAACACATTATTTTTTGTGATTCATAGTTTTTGAAAAATTCTAAATCAATAATAGTTATTTACTTTAAAATTTGTAAATTTTAATTAATCATGTACAGTATTGATAAGTTAAAACAATTATTTTTTTTTTTTAAATTATCTCTTAAGAAAATCATCTTTTAAAAAAAGGAAGTATGCTCTAATGCATAATAAATGACGTTATGGGATGTCTCAAATAAGCCTACCGAAGCAGCACACGGAAGGACGATCGCTTCCAAGTCGTTTAACTGTTTAAGTGACTCTGTGTGTCAAACTGATTGATAAGTGTAACCATTTAATGCTTTTGATTGACTAAATTAGTTGAGAGTTGGTTTGCAAAATTTTCTATTTAAAAAAAAAAAAGAAAACCTCTCCTTCAATAATTAATTTGATGATATATGTATGGTGATAACTTCTTTTTTTGTTTCCAAACGATGCTATGGTTTTGTATGCATATCGTATGAATGAATGTAACAATTGTGACTCTTTTTAATCCTAAAAAGGAAAAAGAATCATATAAAAAGAAACCCAAAAGTATAACCAAAAGAAAAATGTTTTTGAGTAATTATTTTGAAGAAGATGAACATCTTTTAGTAAGTTTGATTCGAAGACCATGCTTCATGCGGAGGATAGGACCAGGAGCTGGTTCAATCTTTTGGCCTTGGACAACTTCAATATCATAGTTTTGTAATATCTCCACGACCACTGTCTTCATTAGTGTCATAGCTACCTCTTTACCCAAGCAAGCTCTTGGACCAGCATTAAACGTAAAGAACTTGGAGGAAGACACTTCTTTAAACCCTCTTGTTTCTGAAACCCATCTCTTGGGATTGAAATCCAAAGCATCTTCTCCCCATACTGCTTTCATCCTCCCCAACGCGTAAATAAAGATTAAAATCTTTATACTTGGGTCAACTCTATGCCCACTTGGGAGCACATCTGGTTTTATGGGAGACAAACGTTCGAATGGAACAGGAGGGTGAAGTCTCATTGCTTCATACAAGGCACCACGTAAGTACACTAGTTTGTTCAAGAACTCCATGGAATCATAAGACGACCTCTCGGGGTCATCAGCTCCATTTGAGTCGATCTCTTGGCGAATGTTTGTGACAACATGAGGGTTTTTGGACAAACACCAAAAGAACCAAGTGAGACCAGAAGCAGTGGTATCTCTTCCGGCTAGAATGAAAGCTAACATGGTGTCTCTAAGAAACTTCTCATCATTATGGTACTTCAAGTACATGGTTGAATCTAGCTTCATGTGGGATGTTAAAAGATCCTCACCTTCTTTACTAGAACACTCTTTTGATCTTACCTCTTCTCTCTTATCTAATATGAACTTCTTACAAGTTCGATTTAAAGTTGCGTGAGCTTCATACAACTTCTTCTCTTGTCCGAATCCAACCCATCTTTGAAGCTTCCACAAGAACTTTGGCTTAACATGCCTATACATAATCCCTTCTCCTATATCGTTGAGAGCTTTTGCAAACTCATCAACCTCTAACATTTCAATGGAGAGAGATCTAGGATCATCACAGCCAGTTACTGTCATTAGAGTTGTGTCGAACGTAAACCTCCTGAACACATCTTGCAAGTCCACGACCTTTTCTTTCTCCACAATATGATCAAAGAGAGGAACAAGCCCGTCCTTGAGTTTTTTCCTCGTGGTACTCATTGACAACTTTTGAAACCCTTGGTGGTCGACCATGGCTTTGGAAACTTTCCTTAGACTCTTCCATAGCTCCGAGTCCGCAGTGAGTATCCCATCTCCAAGAACATCAAACACTTCTTTGAAGTCAGGACCTTTGGTGTAATTGGAGGAGTTTGATGAGTTCATTATATGACGAATATTTTTATCATCAGCCGTGAAAACCATATCCATTCCAGAGTACCACGGTCCCTTGAATGCGAACGTCAAGTTAGAGTTCTCGAGAATCTCCACGCTAAAGTCATAGATTCGATGGAACTCCATGAGTAGACTAGGAAGCATCCCAAGAACTGGCCAGTTTCTAAGGAAGCCTTTATGAGGTTTCTTGAAGTGGTAGAAGAAACAAAGGATTAATGAAACGATGGCTATAGAAGCTTGAACTAAGCTTATTGAGGCCATTGTGTATTAGAAGAACTAAATGAGGAAGTTGTGATGGGTTCTTTATAATTCAATACACTAATTATAAGCTAGGCATGATGAATAACATTTTCACACGATTTGCTAATGAATGATATTTTCATACTAACTTTACCGACAACTACATCAAGGCAACATGTCAGATGATGTCATGACGATACTCATTACACACCACATATGGGACGAGAAGAATTTGTGGACAAGTTTGCAAGTATATTTAATTTAGAAATTAAAGATGTTAATTAAGAAGTATAATTACTTGAGAGAAAAATAAGTGGTTATCCAATTTGATTGTTTAAATGCGTAAATTATATCTTATGAAATACTAGGATTTTCAAATGTTAATATTTAAAATTTTTTACAATATAGTTTCGTAAAATCTTATATTGGTTAATTATGTAATGTCTTCGTTCGTAGTAATTAAACAATAAAAAAGATGTTATGAAATGCCACTTTCAGGATATTTTCTGAAAAATCTTAAAAAATGTTTTTGAAGATTCAAGATTATTTTACGTATAAGTATTCGAAAATCAATTGTAAGAAAGGTTCTATTTAAACTCTCTAAATAAATGCTATGCTATTTTTTTGGAAAACATATACTGTAGTAACATTTATTGTGGTTTATTAAATGTCATGTTCATATCTAATGTGTTGAATTGCATTCAACATTACTATATAAAGTAACAAATACCAAATTTAAATACTATATAACATAATACTTATAACATAGTTATACTCAAACTGAGTTTATAAGCTTTACGTCATCGTTAAGATTAATGAGTAATACAATATAGTGAAGAAGTATCACACTCTTTAAATGGAATTGGTAAGCTTTACGTCATTTTTTATAAGAGCATGTGCATTGGTTTGTGTCTCGCATCTATATAATATGAATTTGTATAGTGTAGAGAAATTTGAGAACTCTTTCTTGATTTTGTGTGTTCATTGGTAAGAAACCTATTGAGCTTTTTCATCAATACAATAATATTATTTTTAATGTAAATAAATATTTTAATCCAATTTTATTCGAATGCTTATTTTAAATTATAAAAAATTTCTATTAAACATATTTAGTTACTTATTATATATATTTCATATCAAAATATATATTTATACATGAATGCGGTCACCATGTGAGAGTCTCATGGGTTTCTCCTTTCTCGAAACCTTAAGATTCGATTCTTGATGTTTAAAATTAATAAGTTATTATATTTTTACATTTTCATTTAGTTTATTCATTAGAAAATGCACATGGTCTAATTCACTAATTGTGTCACTTAAGGACACATATATGTCACATGATAGTATTTGATGCATAAAGCCTCGGCCGGGGCTGCTGATAAAGATGGACCAACGGCCGAGAAATGATATTAGAACATGACTGTCTCTATAAATAGTCATATATAGTTATGTGAGGACCATCCTCATTTAAACTCTCACCAAGATCTTTTGCTTATTTCGTGTCATTTCATTCTCTTAAATGTCTCCTTTCAATTCTCTTATTTTATACAGTACTATATATTTATTCCACAATCCCAACCACTTCAATTTTGGTCTTTTCCTCTCATAAGTCTTTGTTTACAATAGTCTCTATTAATGATTATGTTCCCTAACTCTCGTTGTCTCGTAAATATAATATATGGTTTTGATGCATGAGAGTCACTAGAAATAGAATCACTAGCTTATGCCAAATCTCTAATAAGGCTACAAAATGCTGGCGGCTGCTCTTGTTCGCTATTACAAATTCATATTCTAAAGAAGTTTTATAGTACTTTTAAATGAACTCGAGCCTTTTATACTTCACAAGATTTTCTTGTGCTTACCAACGCTTAGTGATAAAACTTAAAAATGCTTTGTTTCATGATAAATTATGCTCTTAGTTAGTGCACTATCTTTGTCTCTTCCCACACCAAAATGCTCGAGTTTGAATTTAATTAAGAGGAGTGTATGGAAATTTAAGGTTACCTAACAATATGTTGGGTAATCAAAGAAACATAGACTAAAAGAACTTCAATGATAGCATGGGAAAAGAGAACGATAACAAAACTAGTAGAGAAGCAAACACAAGTGCAAGAGCCATAGTGATTAATTAGGAGCTAGCTAGCTAGTAGAGAGCCGATGGACAAGGCCAGTAAGGGAAGCGCGAGTTCTTTATTGGAACTTCTTCTTCTGTTAAGAAGTGCGTGCACGTTCCGGTGGTGAGATCATAAACACCAAAGTTACGGCCAACAAAATAGATGCAGTTAGGCTTGAGTCCACGAGACGAACTAGCCAGAACACAGAAAGCCTCACTATGTCCAACGAAAATGCAAAGATCTCCAATATCTTCTGTGTATGTCATAGTCTTATAACATTTTTCCGATTTCTCATTTGCTCTAAACACCGTGAACTTTTCTGTTACATGCTGCAGTGTTTTGCTTTCATAGTTCTCCATGTCAGCACCGTACCTTCAAAAAAATGATAGAGCCAATAAGGTAAAATAAATGGTTAACACCAAAGTTAATTAGATACTATAGTACCATACCACTTGACGAGGAAAAGTTGACCGGTGGGTGACTCCACAAGATGGTCTGTCTTGGAACATGAACTCAAGTTGGCAACCTTCTCAAACACAGACTTTGGAAGTTTGTCAAACTGCATTTCGATGAACTTGGTTTGGTCATTCTCCTTAGAGTTGAGATCCAAATAGCACAAGAAGTTGCCACCAAGACCTGGAATGTAGAACCTTTGATCTGTCTTGGAGAACATTAAGGTCGAGTTAGGGTTTATACACTTGGCTTTGATGTTGATCCACTTAGAACTACCATAAGGCCTACAGAGACTTATCCTAGATCCTGATAACTTGACACCCACGACCCAATCTTTATCTCGGACAGGTAAAGAGGACATGGTTAGGTTATGGATCTTGGTAAAGGTGGGTAGAGAAGGTAGATCAACGGTCACGTCGTCTAGTTCAGGGTCGGAGGGATTATAAGTGATGACAACTCGATTCCACGATAAGCGGTATCCTAATCCATCACGTGAGAATCCGACAGTCATGGCATCACAGACCTCCTTAATGAGTTCCTTGTCGTGAATACGGACTTCGTTTGCCTTATAGGGTGAAATGCATGTTATTACACGACCATCCTGTGGGAAGTTAAGGATGTAGTCAATCAATAGAAACGGGTAGGCTGGTTGAGATGAGAAGTGTGTTGTAGATGAGAACATACGAACGTTTGTGTGTCTCTGCATGCCATATAAGTGTTCAAGTACGTAGTTCAGAGACAACGACCAAGAACAAAAAAGTTAAAAGACAAAACTGAATTATTACATAGCAAAGAGAAGCTTACGAGGATGTTTTTGCAGACTGAGGGTTTAAAGACTCGGTTGATTATAAGCTGTGCCATTGTTATTGAATCCCTAAGAGAAAAACTTTTGTGTTTCGTCTCCTCTTCTATCTCTATTGGACTTCTTAATACATAGGTTTTCTTGGCCTCCAAGTTCACGTTATATTTGGGGAATATTTACAAATAAATTAATCTTTAGTATCAAACATTAGTTGGGGACTATTTAGAAATAAATAAAGGATTAATTGGAAAAGTAGTACATTTTAAAAACATAATTATAAAACTAATACATATACAATTTATAATTAGGAAAGTAGTACATTTTCACTATTTGATACTATTTCAATGACTTTTAAAGACTCTGAAAACAGCTTATTCACGAATATGCCATTAGAATAATTATATAATATAATTTGTACATTATATTTTCTGTACAGTTGTACAAAAATATATTTATGTACAATAATAAAAATACTACATAATATTATATGTACACTTTTTCTAGCTATATAAATAAAAATGTATAAATTTTTATATTTCCGTACAATCAATAAACTGTACGTTTACATCTGTACAGTTAATCAGATGTACATATACGTTTGTACATATATTAAATTGTACAAATACGTCTGTACACATAATAAATTGCACAAATACGTCTGTACACATACTAAATTGTACAAATACGTATGTACATATACGTTTGTACATATACTAAACTGTACAAATACGTCTGTACACATACTAAATTGTACAAATAAATATATATATATGAAATTTATTTAAAATTAATTTAGCAAAATGCATATCAAATTAAAGAGAAAAAAACATGGATTTTTATGTATCAAAAAAGTTTTAAAAACCAAAGTTATAATCCCTAATATTTTAATTATTAAAAATTTGGGGTGATGATAATAAACAAAATATTTAAAAAAATAATTAAAAAAAAAAAGAAAAAAAAATACCCTTTTGTCATTTTCCCTCTTCTTCTTTATCTCTATTTCACATAATCTCTATCTCACATTGTAGGTCCTACGACTACTTTCCTAATTTTGAATAGTGTATGTACTATCTTTCCAATTATATTTTTAAAATGTACTAAAATTCCAATACACCCATAAATAAATAAGTAGACATATACACTAACTAGCACATAACTTTGCTTCTTCTGAATATTTTCTTCCCAAATAAAATCTATAATCATTCCTAATATTATATTTTCGCAAACATTATATATTCAGAAAATATAAAACTATTCCTAAATCACGGTATACTTGTATAACGAAATTTTATGACCGTGAACATTTTTAATATAAGACTAAAATTTAATTTGCCGACAAAGAATTTTTTTATTTATTTTTGAAATTTATTAAATTTTTATCTAATAACTATTAAAAATTGTAAAATAAGAATTTAACTCGTGTTTAAGTATCAGAATAATGATACTTTAAATTTTAGTAATACCGATTCAAACATGTCATGCAATATAACCCATTTATATTATTTTAAACTTATAATATATTTAAACATTTATAATTTTAGACTTTTTCTTTACTGTCTTTAAGTGTTTTTTATGATCTAGTCAGTCGTAATGGTCGGTGTCGCATATTTGCGTGATTGTGGAATTGTTCATAGAAATATAAAGCTGGATAGTTTTATATAATCTCTAAAGGGGGATTACCCCAAAACTTGGAGGTTTGAGCATGGGAAAGCTTGACAAGGACAATAAAACCTTGAAGAAACAGAGGCAGTATGCACCATAACAAACCCAAAAGAAGAATAAAGTGAAAGGTTTGACAAACGATGTTTTCCTTCTTGGATGTGTTGTTGGTTATTCGATCTCTCGTGACCAACACATTCATAGATAAATTCTTGACCGAGCATAAACTCACTCACAAGAAAGAGGCAATAAACATAGTTAAACAATCATCTGAAGCTTACTATTTGGTCAAGAATCTGATTGGAAGACCTGATACAAATCTTTAAAAGCAAGAAGAATACAATTAGCTTTTACGCATACATATTTTTGATATCAATTTGGATTCGGCTTCACTGAATGACATAACTTAATTACGAACAAAAATATGTTTTTGGCAAGAAATAATGATTGTCTACCACTCATTTTATATATAATTATTATCTGAGTCAAATCTTGTGCATTTATTCAGAATGAATGCAACATATGTCTTTCCAATAAATCTGAATACCATCCCACAACTATTGTTTCATCAAACCATATTTATAAAGTATGTAAGAGCTTTATAAGGTATTTTAAGTGGTTTATAAATAAACATCATTTTTTCATCAAACACATATATTTATAACATCTTTAAAAGATTTTATAAACTCAGATACCTTGTAAGATATTTAAAATGATTTCTAATGTACTTAACGGTTTTATAAATGGGGAAATTTCAAAAATACCCCTTTTCCAATACGACTTTTTAAAAATACCCCTCTTTCTAATTTTATCAAAAAGTCACAATAAAAATTGAAATTTATCAAAAAAATATGCATAAACTTATATTTATAGACACAAATTATCTTTACATGTGTGTAAATTTATATATATATATATATATATATCATAAGTACCGTATAAATACTTTTTAAAAATCATATAAAAAGCTTATAAAAACTGTGTAAACCTTTTAAAAACCTTATAAAAGCCGTTTAGAACCTTTTAAAACCTTCTAAATATTTAGATTTAGTCTTCCAGTAGTAATGATGATCTTGATGTACCTTATCAACCATATAAAAGTTTATAATCTTTCATATTTGAAAAAGGGTATTTTTGAAAATGAATAGAAAAGGGGGGTATTTTTAAAAAAGGGGTACACCAAAAGGGGTATTTCTCAAAAATTCTCTTTATAAATTGGGAAATATCTTTTTTCTTTGTCATCAATTGGGAAATATCTTGTTTACGATACGTTTAAACTTATTTAAAATTTATTAATCAACGTGGAGCGGTGAACTACTGTTTAAGCATAATAGTGACATATTTCTCAACTTCTTACTGAAATTATTCGAACAATAAAATGTGCTCTAAACTTTGGAATAACATGCATAAAACCCCATTCGTAAAATTATTTGAATGCCTTGTAAAAAAAAAATCATATAGAACCATTTAAGTACCTTTCAAATATTTTAAAACCTTTTATAGGCCATTGAAATATGTTGTTAGTACCTTGTACAACCTTGTGAGTTTTGATCTTGTTGTTTTTCAATCTATTAGAATTGAATTCTAACAAAAATTAATGTAAATTTGAGAATAGTTAACAACATTATAGTTATAGTTCATTAAATTTTTTACATATATATATATATATATATATATATTAATAATTTTATATAATTATTAATTTATAATATTAATGAGACCATATATTTACAAAGGATTTTCAAAAAAACTAACTAAAATTACACTTGTCCCAATTTGGAACTGGAGAAATTTATTAATTTATAGAGATTATTAATTTATCTATGTATTAAATTATAGATATTTTACTGTATTTTAAATTTCAATAAAATTTTGGGTTGGATATTCGGCTGATAAATTAAAACAATTAATATTATTTGCCATTTATCTACACTTCTAGAGTTAATTAAAATTTCAAACCGAATTAAATTTCAAGTTTAAGTTAAAATAAACGCAAAAACGCAAAAACCTTAACAACAAAATCTTGCACAAGTTTCATTCTGAGACGAAGAGAGAAAGTGCAATGGCCGAATCTTTGATGAGTCTTCAGTTGAAAGCGAGAGACATTATTGTGAGTCCAAGCCACGAAGACTTAGCTATGGTCGTAGATCATCTCTTCAAGCATCAAGACTCCGAACAATACAAAACAGCTCGTGCTCTGTACGATTTCTTGGTCTCTTATTTCCCCGATTGCTTAACCCTCAAGCTTCTTCAGGTCTTCCAGTGTTCTTCCAATGGCGTCACAAGATTCAGATCGATCTATCAACTCTCTGAAACCCTCACCGATCTCAGATACCGCAACTTCAAACTCTCTCTCGACGCGCTTTATGAGATCAAGCCCGTTGTGATTTCTTGCTTGACAAGGAAAGAAACCAAAGAATCTGACATCAAGATTCTTAGAAGAATCGTTTGTGTTGTAGCTTACAATGTTGTGACGTTGCATAATGGCAAATGGGACGAGCTCAGTGACTGTATCTTAACGTTAGCGAGTAGTCATGAACCTGTCAAGGCCTTTCACGTCTTCGTAGATTTGCCACTGGTCTACGAAGAGTTCATCGAAAGGTTCTTGAATACGATTTTGCAGAAAGCTGATAATGTCTTTCTTGATCTTTATAGAGTTGGAGATTGGAGTTTGGCTATACAAACTCTTGTTAAAATGTGGATTCAGATTTCGAATACAAGTATGACGATCAAGGCTATACGGGAGTTAATGGTTCCTCAGCTTGCCTATGTTGTGAATTCAGTGTTTGAGTTGGTGAATAATGAAAAGGAACATTTTTTGGTACGAGGGCTTGAAGATTTCAAGAGGTTCTTCTCACGAGACATGAGTCTGTATCATTATAATGAGAATCAATGCCATTTCGTGGTGGCTTCCATGAACGAGATCGAAGGAGTAGTAGTTGGAACAAAGACCAAGGAGATTGTGAGGAAGATCAAAATGTTGGTGACAGAACAACAGAGTGATGATGTTTGGAATCCTAGACAAGAGTTTGACCGTGTCTGGTATGACCATTTGAAGAATTTATCTTCACTACAAGTCTTAAAGATCTTTGCTTCCACTGATCTTGAAGATAGGTCCAGAGAGATAGCTATCAGACGGCTCAATGTCTTACTCTCTGGTTACAGTTCAAAGAAAGTGCAAATAAACATTGCAGAGATGAGACAAATCCAAACATTGGTCATGTCTTGTTTACATGAGGAAAGAATCTCTGACAGTATGTTCAAAGTCTTAGGTGAGGTGGTGAACCACGTTGCGTATGAGGTGTTGATAAACCAAGACGAGATATGGTATGAGCTACGAGATTATATTGCATCTAGTAAAACAGAGTTTCAGAGAGCGGTTTATATCTTCCAGTGCTTAACAATGGCGCTTGTTGAAGACGATTTTGTGATTTCTATAATAGAGAAGCTTTTCCCGAAGATAATCACAAGACTAGACCCACCACCAACAGAGTTGTTGGTAGATAACAGTTGCTGGGTTTGGGCCTTTACTGGTGCCTTCTGTGCAGCAGTTCACTTGATAGAGATCCCAAGTTGTGCTGAAACAGTTAAGGAGATTGCACATAATATGATAGATTCAGTGAGAAAGCTTGTGGAAAGAGATATGGAAGTTGGGTTTGTGAGGAGAGCTTTCAGAGATGTGGAAAGGATTTTGTGTAAGCAATTGGAATGGTACAGTACGAGTCAATACAAGTTACTTAAGGGTTTGCTTTGGAGACTCTATGTAATCAAAGGCATGAAGTGGGAAAGTAAGATTGTGTTGTGGAGGATCAACGTGATAGTGGAGAGAAGAGTGAGAGAAGTGGAGAAAGAGCTGCCAAAGAATGAGTTTGATTTGGCTTAACCTTACTGATGATGAACATGTTGAATAAAGTATAGTTTGCATTGGAGAAGAAAATGTAGTTAGTTCTTGAAACACTTCAATAAAAGCTTCTCACTTTTCTCTTCAATAAACACTTTTATCACTTAATCATCAACTTCTAAATATTAAAACTAGATCACAAGTACATTGTACATTATTGGCTGCTCCTTACACTGAATCGATCCCTCCAATGTAGTAGGTAACAAGCTCAGCTTTGGTTTCTAACTCCACTCCTGTAAAACTAAACACATCGTATCCTCCAGGAACAGCTATAGCGGGAGATTGCCATGGAATCACTGGAAGTCGAGACAGGTCAAGGCTCGATGCTAGTCCTTAGATTCTTTGTTCCTCACGTCTCTTGGTTGTCACTTATTCTCTCTTTTAACTTTGTTTCCCCTCGATGTTAATCCTTATCTTCTTTGTTCCTCATGTCTCTTGTCTTGGTTGTCACTTATTCTCTCTTTTAACTTTGTTTCCCACGTCCATACTCTTTATACTTGTTCTAAAATCCACATAGTAGACATTGTTGATACCATTTTGCTGCAAAAGATCATTTCTTCTGTTGTGATGATAATCCTACTTCCAGGACCAAACCAAGTAGTCTGATCAGCTAAAGCATACAACTGTTCCAGATGTACATGCTTTATCGTCATATCCTCTCGGTTCTCCGGCTATATTGCCTACATCGATTAAAGCATGGATCCATCTCTTTTTGAAGGCCTTCCCAAAATCTCCATTATGTTTCCTTACATCAGATGGATCTACTCGGAGAAGATTGGCATCACTACGTTTTTGCACTTCAAGATCTCCACAAATTCATTCAAGCAACAGCTCGAGGAAGCATAGTTCACCACGATTGAGACCCTCGATTCTCTAATCGCTTGTATGAGAGCAGGGGCTATGGTTTGGCTTCTCTCGATTCCTTGATCATCAAACACAGTAATCCCATTTGAGTTAAACTGTTTGCATAAATGAGAGAGAAAAGTCTTACGAATATCTTGTCCATGGAAGCTGGGGAAGGCGCTGTGTCTCCAAGATCGAGAAGAGACCATAAGAGAAAGGTCGTGAGATAAGTTTGTGTTTGGATAAGAAAGCTCTAGCCTCTACGAATGGAATATATGATAAAAAGGCTTATCCACATTATAGACTTTTGAGAGAGAGGGAGACCACAGACGTAACTCGTAAGCATTGTTTATTGGCCCACCCTAGTAAAAATATATATTTATGAGACATTTAAGTCGGAAGTAAAATTTCCTTTATAAAAAATCAACCAGGAAAGGTCTGGATTTGGTGTATGAATTTACAAAAGTGTGACCAAGAAATAACCAGACGACTACGAGTTATGTAAAACTTGACAGATGTTAAAGTCGCTTCAACCTCTCCTCAATTCCATAGTTTGCTCTGCGAACTCGTTCTTCGATCAATATCCCAAACGGTCATTAAGAGAAGTTCGCCCATCGCCAGATTGACCTGCACATTTCAAGTTAATGCATTACTCATTAGCTGGATTGGATTTAAAATGCATAATGTATTTCTTAAACATGGCTGCTTTACCTTTAGGAGGTACCCATGAATCATAATCTGTGCTTTCATTAAGATATTCTGGTTTATCAGGATCAACTTCTTTTTTAGCCGTCTTTTTCTTCTTCTTTCTACTTCCTTGCTTATTTTCTTCCTGTTTACTGAGTTCTTCGTCTTCTTTGTTTGCATGATGTCCTACAGAATGCTTCAATAAGAGAGCAACTGCGTCTTGTGCCATGACCTCTGCTTGCTTTTCCTTTGACTTATCATCTTCTTCTTCACTCTTGTCTTCTTGCTTACGTTTTCTTATTATCAATCCTGTTGCACCTTCAATTCCGGTGGTGGTGGTTAGCGGAATCTTCTTCCTATCTTTATAGTCAACAAACCCATCAGCATCATCTATGCTATCAGTAGTAGCAGCTACAATCTCAGTTTTTTTCTCTTCCATTGTGGCTTTATTTGCAGCGGATCCGAGCCATTGGGGTTTTGATGGAACATACACAGTGGTCTTCTTCTCTTCAGCTGTTTCACTTGCTTTCTTTTCTACTTCAGGCTTATTGTCTGAGTCCAATAATTCTTTGCTCACTTCTTTTTCATTATGCTCAACAGGATCAGCTGGTTTCAAAGGTAGACTTGTCTTCTTTTCTACAGGAGGTTTTTCAGATTTCATGATTTTTGGTTCTTGTGATTTCAACTCCCTTTTCTTAACCTCTTCTCCGGTTGGGTCAGCAATCTTTAGAAGGTACAAGATCCTGCTTAATTCTGACTGAAGAGTGGACAACTCTTGCTGGATCTGAGCGGTTTTATCTTGCACTGACACCAATAAAAGGAAAATTCCGTGAGATCATTCACAAGTTTTTTCCTAAAAGTAAACTGAAAAACAAATATAAACTAAAGGACACTAAATAAGAAGTAAATTAATTACCAAGTGTTGTAGAAAGCCCGGTCATGTATGCATCAAGGGCATCAAGGGAGTCTCCTGATGCAACTTCTGTGACTTTCTCTATCTCCATCTTATTCTTCTCTGTTAAAAGTTGTTCATTCTTTTCTTCTATTTCTTTTAAGACATTGTCTCTCTTATCTAGAAGTGAATCAACAGTTTCTACAGTTTGGTTTTCGCTGCCTTTCTGTGCTGATGGTTTCTTCTTGGTTCGGTCATAGAAGTCATCTTCATCACTGAAACGAACATAATAGTCCATATGAGAATCAACATACACAAGCTATAGTTTTACATGAAGGTGTAGATATGGAGTTGGAATTTTTGAAGCAGCCTTTGATTGAAGCACCGGTACGCATACCACACGATCCGTTAAGAGAAAAAATAGCCGAGACATGAGAAAGATTACCTCGACAAGTCTTCCTCATCTTCGACCATTCCTTTCTTCTTTCCTTGGGGTTTTCTCCCTGTTTTCGCACCCAAACTTTCTCGGATGCTGTCATTCAGTGTCTCTTCCAAGTTCTCAAGTTCTTCCAGAAGCTATCATACGTTTAATAGAAATGGAGAGTATAATCAGATAAAGAGTTTTGCAACCAAAAATAAAAAATTGTCATAAGGATACTTCATATTGACAAAACGGTTACCTCAGCTGTTCTCTGATCATTCCTGGCAATCTGTGTTTGTTGTCCTTGTGTCAATCCACCCTGAGATATGTCTTTGGCTCGAATAGCTGCAACTTCCTTCTTCATATGGCCAATCTACACAGAAGTAAACATTCCTATAAAGATGACGCATAGTGGGAGCAGTCTATAAAACATTTATGAATAAAGGAAAGTTGGAACCGTCCATAAATTATAATGAGAATCCAAGAGACTCAGGTCACTAAGAAGCATCAGATAAATATATAATTTTGCATTGGAGATAAGTCACTGAGAACAAAAAACCAACCTTCTCCAATCGTTTCAGTACTTTCTCCTTAGTTTTTTCTTGCTTTGGAGTGAGTTCTCCAGTATATGTTTGCCACGTGATTTCCTCAACATCATCCTTCATGTCCAAATTATAGAAGAAACAAGGTCAGTCAGAATGAATGTTTTCAAAAATCCTGGAAACGTGAGACTCTAAAGTCCACAACACCAACGGATTTGTCATTTTTACCTCTTCTTCTTCAATAGCATCTTCCCCCATGCCCCATGAAACACCATCAGCCATGGATGCTTGCTGCTTTGCTCGTCGCAGTGAAGCTTCTCGTTCTGACATTTCCATTCTCATCTTTGCTTCTCTGAATAATTGTAAGTCTTTCTCCTACAAATCAATACCACAAGTAAATTAACAGGACATCAAACAAATAAGGTAGATGCCAAAACAACTCCAAAAATTAAATTTGAGTAAAGGGAAATGTGTATCTTCTTACTGGTGGCATTAAGTCTGAGGGTCCTTGGAAAATGTATAATCGAGTCGAACTACATATAAAACAAAGAAAAACCTCAGGAAAATCAAAGCAAAAACTACCAATGTAATCATCATGAGCTGAAGAGAAATATATACTCACCCGCCAAAGCGAATAACATCACCAACATGCAAATCCACAAAAACCTTTTTATCTACCTGCAAAAATCATAACACACCGAGAGAAAAACACTATAAGCCAGCTTATCAAAGCTCAATCAAGAGAATAATAATATTGAAACCAAAGATAGAACACCTTATTCTTATTAACAGTTGTTCCATGTGTGCTGCCAAGATCATATATATACGCAGCTCCACTTCTCTTGTACTGAATAACTGACAAAAATCATTACAAAACAATCATAAAAACGTAATCCAATTGAAATCAATAACACTATGATATGAACATTGAACAGTAAGGTAATCACCAGCATGAAACCGAGAAATTGAGGGATGCTCAAGAGCAAAATCACAGATACCATCACGTCCAAACAAGTAAGCTCCTTTCTTATGGCTGCAAAGAGAAAAAACACGAATTAAGTATGCTTTCCTTCATAATTCAATCACAACCTAAACGAGAACTAGAACCAGAACCCAAGTTTTTTGCTCAAAGACAACAACTTTACAAGAGTTACGTACACGTTTAATTGGTCGACAATGGCGCCTTCCTTGAGGACTTCAAGCTGAAATTGGTGGCAAGGAGGGCCACTCCACTCCGGAATAGTATAAGGGACAGGACTCTGCTTCACGGTTCGAGTACGAACTGGCTTATTCTCTTCTACAGCGACTGAATCGACCTTAGATTCTTCAATTAGCTTGGGCTCTACTACTTCCGTTGTCTTCAGATCAGGTGTGTTAGGGTTCCTGGGAGGTGGAGGGTTCATCGCCGAGACTTCAGTTACGGTTGAGGATTCGTCGCTCTGAGAAATTGACGCGGTGTTTGGTTCAGGTTCGGAATCATTGCTAGGGTTTCGCGGCGGCGGAGGATCCATCGCCGATGTAGTCATGGTTGCGCAGATGGCGAGGATTCAGAAACTTGGCCAAAGAAAATAGAAAGAGAGATCAAAGGAGGCGGCAAGTGTATCTCGGATCGGGTATGGGTACGGGTTCCGGATCCGAATCCGAATCCGGACTCTCTAGTTTTATAAACTAACGGCAAATAGCGATCTAAATGGGCTGGTCCGGAATGATAAAAAAACAAATAGGCTGGGCCGGTTCGGGCTGGGCCGCAGATTTAGGTCTGTTTTGATATTTTTATCTTCAAACGTAAACTGTTCAAAAACGAAAGTAACGTCAAAAAAAAAAAAAAAAAAACAGAAGTTACCAAAGGAATCAGGAAAAAGGGTTTTTTGGTTCACTTCGCCGTGGAGCTGTGGTTGTGGAGTGGTGATTTTGAGATATGGAGGCGGAGAAAATGGAATTGAAGCTGTACAACACAATGACGCAGCAGAAAGAAGTGTTGATTCCGATCACTCCGGGAAAAATCGGATTGTACGTTTGTGGTATCACAGCTTACGATTTCAGCCATATCGGCCATGCTCGCGCCGCCGTTTCCTTCGATGTTCTTTACAGGTCTCTTCTTCCTCTCTTAAGAAATTGCTTACGCTAAGTTTTTGGTGAGTCGAATATGTTAGATCGATGAGGTTATATTTGGGCATATGCTGTTCTTAGACCTGATCTCGTAACTTAGATTTGAAGATAAGAATATTTGAATTTTTGGTATATGGGTTTAGTTTCTTATCTAGTTTGAGATTTTGATTAAGGAATGTTCTTGGTGGATTTGGCAATTAATTATCTCTACTTTTATTTGTTATTGCATATGCAGATACTTAAAGCATTTGGGTTATGAAGTTAATTTTGTACGCAATTTCACAGATGTTGATGACAAGGTATGATTTTTTTTCTTGTTTGATGTCGTTTAGGTTATATAGCTCAGCTTACAACTTTATTGACATTCTGATTTAAACAAGAATTTTCTTGTTGTAGTGCAATTCCTTTTTCCCAATGGATAGTAGTGAACGAATGAAAGCTACTGTTGTCTTTGTCGCTTTCTGTTGCTTATGTTTAGTGTTCATATCATGTTTTAGAATCTGTATTTTGGGATCTCTGCAGATCATCAAACGTGCTAATGAGAGTGGAGTGGAACCGTTAGAATTGAGTAATCAGTTTTGCGAAGAATATTTGGTAGATATGGCTGCTCTTCAGTGCCTGCTTCCTACCCACCAGCCTCGTGTCAGTGACCATATGGACCACATTATAAAAATGATTGAAAAGGTATGTTGCCTTGATAAGAGAACTCATTCTTCTTTCTTTTTTGTTTGGTCTCCTTAAAATATTGTTGGTTGAAAGATGTGATACAAAATATTGTTGGAATTGACAGCAATGTTTATTATCCATATGCTTGCATGACAGATCATCGAGAAAGATTGTGGGTATGTTGTGGAAGGTGATGTGTTCTTTTCGGTCGACAAATCACCAAATTATGGTAAATTATCTGGGCAAATGTTAGAACATACTAGAGCTGGTGAGCGTGTTGCTGTTGATTCGAGAAAGCGCAACCCTGCTGATTTTGCATTATGGAAGGTTTGAGAATCAAAATCCTTTAATTTTTCATCTTTGAATCTCCAAATTGAGGCTTCCAGCTTATGATGAAGTGAGGTTTACGCATAAATCTATGCAGGCTGCAAAACCTGATGAGCCAAGTTGGGAGAGTCCATGGGGTCCAGGAAGACCAGGATGGCACATCGAGTGCAGTGCAATGAGTGCTCATTATCTGTCTCCGAAATTTGACATTCATGGGGGTGGTGCAGATCTGAAATTCCCGCATCATGAAAATGAGATTGCCCAGACATGTGCTGCATGTGAGGATAGTGGAGTGAATTACTGGTTGCATAATGGGCATGTCACTATCGGTAACGAGAAGATGGCAAAATCAAAGAGAAACTTCAAAACAATTAGAGAAGTATACTTCTTACCTGCTTCTAGTATAATAATTCAATATGTCTTTGGACGTGTTCCCATGGCTAAATGTAGAATTATTAACAGGTTTCCAATTTTTGTTCTAATCTGCGTAGATGACAGATAACTACCATCCATTGGCTCTGAGGCACTTCTTGATGAGTGCACAGTACCGATCTCCTCTAAGCTATTCAGAGTCACAGCTAGAGTATTCGTCAGAAGCTTTATACTATGTTTACCAGGTGCAGTGCTTCAGATCTGTTCTAAATTATTCAACAATTTGATCAGCCTCTCTTCCGTTGCAATGCTTTATCTGAGAACATAAAAATTGAAAGTGAGACGAAATGTCATAAGTTATATTCAGTTCTGACTTTAACATCTGATATTTTTTTATCAGACTTTACAAGATCTTGATGAAGGTCTGTCACCATATCGAGAATTAATGTCTGAAGATGGTGGAAAAGCTGAACAGACTCCAGAAGCCAAAGACATCATTAAGAAGCTGAAAAGTGAATTTGAAGCAAAGATGTTAGACGATTTGAATACGGCTCATATACTTACGGGTGCTTACCAAGATGCATTGAAATTCATCAACGCTTCACTCAGCAAGCTCAAGGTTCTTGCCTCTTGTCTTCTTCTTTATATGTGTTTCCTTGCCTTCACAAACTATGCATACCAAATTTGTCTGTTATTTCCAAATTTTCAGAAAATGCAGAAGAAACAGCGAATGTCGATGCTCGTGTCACTCGTCGAGATTGAGAAAGCAGCAAGGGAAGTTCTTGATGTACTTGGTTTGCTCACTACTCTGAGCTATGCCGAGATTTTGCAGGAAATGAAACTAAAAACACTAAAAAGAGCAGAACTGGGAGAAGGAGATATTACGCAGTTAATAGAAGAAAGGATAACAGCACGAAAGAACAAAGAGTTTGAGAAAAGTGATCAGATTAGAGAGAAATTGACAAGAAAAGGTATAGCATTGATGGATATTGGTAAAGAAACTGTGTGGAGGCCATGCTTCCCTTCTCAGGCTGATTCAAGCAAGTGAGCACAAAGAACAGAGAGATGGAAATAGTCATCACTGTCTTCATTTCTCTACTTCTTTTTCTTTAGCCTCTGTTTCAGGCTCTTTCATTTCAACTCTGTTTTTGGAGTTGTGCGATAATGACTCATAATAGACACTTGTTGCTGTTTATTGTATTCACTCAATGACATTGTAACAATATTTTACTTTAGATATTGTTTTATGGGACTCTCTCTCTCTCTCTCTCTCTCTCTCTCTCTCTCTGTTCGAAGTCTTTCTTATATTCAAAGTCATAAAGGCATTAACGTCTTAAGATGGTGTAAAAAATCTGAACATCTTGTAGTTTCTCAAGTTTTTACAATTCTTCAATGTACAAGAATAGAAGTAAAGAAACTGTTCTTTCTCTCTATATACAGAGTAACTACAACTAATCTCATGTGGTTCACACTAATAACTCTTTCACATAGAGTGAGTGAGAGAAGAAACAGAACCTCTGCTTTTCATATTGGGAATATGTATGAGTTCTTCTTGAACAAGGCGTAGGCGTCACTGTAAATGGCGATTGCATTGGAGAAAACCGCAAGGACGATCATGAAAATGGCTATAGTCTTGTCCCGTCTTGTTGCTTGGTTATGACGATCCCTGAAAAGAAAATATCCATTCAAATGATGATCCATCATAGGTTCCAAAACCAATTTCTCTTAGCTTATGAATCAATGGATCTTACTTTAAGATAACAGCAGCAGGGAATATGAAACCAATGCAGACAGAAGCAGTTGCTCCAGTAAATTGGAAAGCATCCCAAATGCTTGGAATGAAGTTTGCTCCCAAGAAGATTACAGCAATGAGACCAGCAGTGATAGAGCCAAACCTCAGATCAGACTCAGAGGAAGTAAGTGGTGGAGCAGTAGGGAAAAAGAGACCATCGATGTTAACACGCAGAGGATAGAAGACAACAGGGAACACAAGCATGAGATGAGCTGCGTAGCTGAATCTCACTGCTTCATTCAGAATCAAACCAAAAGGGATTCCAAGATCTGTGTCAAAGTTCGCAAGAACATCATCGACAGTACCATCTCCGAACAAGAGGTATCCGAATAAGCTTGTCATAACGTAAACAGAAGAGCACATCGCAAGAGCTGATCTAACAACAGGTTTGATCCTAGATGGGTCTTCAAGCTCGTTCTGTATACTGTGAACTGGAAACAAAAACCAATCGACAACATAATCAGTTCTTGTTCTTTTCTTCAAATGCAAACTTAGCAACAAAGAAGCATCTTCATATACCATTGTAATGACAAATGTACGCATTGACAAGCACTGGAACAACAGTGAAGAGACTCCAGAATGAAGACAAGTCAGTGACATTAGGTAGAAGTCTTGGCATCAACAAACCATCAGTGAACAGCTTTATCATAGTAATCCCCGCAGTGATGAGAAGAAACACAACCGCAAGAGCAACTGATAAGGCAGATGTGAATCTCAAAGAATCTGCAATAAGACCACATGACTTAAAGACTCCATAACATTCTAAGCTTATCAACATGAAACTCGTTACAGAGGAACACTAACCAATCCTTTTGAAGCAAGTCAATGGAGCAAAGACAGTGATAGTTGTAATGAGAAGAACAAAAGTTCTCCTGTTCCACCAATTAATCCCAAACCATCCTTCAAGCATACCAGCATGGTGGATTCCATATTCATTCTTACCAGCCAAAACATCACCTTCACATATCCAAACAAAACCAGAGTTCTAAACACAATCTACTAGACCCAAAACCCTAATATCTAAAACCAAAGATAAGTAAAAAAACGTACCAATGATGATCATATACACGATCAAAACACCAATGTTGCTAACAAGAATAGAAACTTGCAACATGATCCTCCCAGTTTTGCCAAAAGACTCATCCATCACGCCACTGTAAGATCTCTGGTTCCCTACGTTACTAAACCTAAGCAAGAACTCAATCGAAGTATCGGTCAAGAAAGCCATCAAAACGATCATGAAGATTCCTGGAACAAGTCCGAGGATCTTCATCGTAGCAGGCAGAGCCATGATACCAGCACCAATGATCGTCGTAGCTAGGTTAAACACTGCACCACTAAATGAAGCTCCGTTGAATTCTCCTCCATTACCATCGCTCTCTGATGATGATTCTTGCAACAATGGTTCGTTAACTTCTACAATCTCCCTCACGTTCTCCATTTCTTTTTCTCCTGAAACAGAGCAATCTTGAATTAGGTTTAAAGAATGAAACAAGAATCAGAGAAGAAAGAGAAGTAAGAAATCGGAACCCTAGATTGGTTTCTTGAGATTCAGGTCTTGGGAAAGATGATCGGAACGAGAGATTTGACTTTGACGTACGTAAGAAGAATGGGGTTTGGTAGATGTGTAAAACCCTAGTTCTTGAAACAATGGAGAAGAAGATGATTCAAAGATTTGAGAATTGGGGGAGAAGAAGAAGAATGAAGAGGCAGAGAGAATGAGAGGTGAGAAGGGAAGAGAGGGAAATTATAGTTTTTGTGTTTGTTGGCGCTGAAGCAAATTTTAATTTCTTTTTTTCTTTTTCCAAGAACATATTTAGTGTTTTTGAAAGATATTAATGAAATTTTATTGTAAGGTGAAAAATATGTTTTGCCAATTTATTTAATATTTTTTTCCTTTTACATTTATTGGTACGTACATTTTTTTTTTTTACCAAAACACTCTTTTATTTTTCTGGTTCCTTTTACCATTTCTTTAAGGTTAAAGTTGTTTAATCAATTTTTAGGTGAAAAAATCCTTAATATTTTTTTCTTTATTTTCACAAAACCGATTTTACTTTTATTTTTAAGATTAAAAAAAACTGTTTGGTCCATGAAATTTGATCTAGTATATACTTTTATTTTCTAAAATTTTTATTTTTTTCCATCTACAATTTTTTAAATACATTTGTAAGATTAAATTAAAGTTGTTCATAGGTTTGAAGGTGAATTCGATTTTTTCGTACATATTTTTCTTTTTTCTTATACGGAAAACAATATTTTACTTGTATATATGTAAGATAGAAATTGTTTGGTCCAGTAAAAATTTGATATAGTTTATACTTTTATTCCCTTTTAATTTTTATTCGTAAAACTAAAGTTAAATCCTTTTTGTTAAAATTAAAGTTCAATAATTTTGTAAGTGAACACAAAAAATTATGAGTTTTTTTTTTGTCTTCTTATGTATTTTTCTTTTGAATTATATAAAGATACACGTTCTAGTTGCATGTTGCATGTTGCATGATTGTTAGATGCTTTTTATATTCGTTTGACTCAATTGAAGAAACCATATGGTCCACGTTGTCCCCTACTAGTCTATATGAACCACCTCTTCTGAGTCTTCTCAACACACACACACATACCAAACACTCATCACAACTTCTAAGTTCTACCAATCTTTCTTCTTCTCACTACTCACCTAAGAAACAAAACCCTACCTTGCGTTCAAAGTATTTGCTAATAATGCAACCATCCATGAACGTTTTCAGCCTCCATGACCATCCACCTTCGTACCTTTCCCATTTCCCTACATCGTCCTCACCATTTTGCGGCAACGGACAAAACCCTAATCCATTCTACAGCTTCCAAACTGGTGTGAACTCTCCACAGCTCATGAGTTTGAGCAACTCGACCTCAGATGAAGCTGAAGAGAATCATAGTGATATGATCAATGAGAGGAAGCAGAGGAGGAAGCTATCGAACAGAGAATCAGCAAGGAGATCACGTATGAGGAAGCAGAGACAGGTGGATGAGCTTTGGTCTCAGGTGATGTGGCTTAGGAATGAGAATCATCAGTTGCTTCATAAGCTTAACCGTGTCTTGGAGTCTCACGAGAAGGCTATTGAAGAGAATGCTCAGCTTAAAGAGGAAACTTCTGAGCTTAAACACATGATTAGTGATATGACGCAGCTTCAAAATCAGAGTCCTTTCTCTTGTTTCAGAGACGAAGACATTGTATAGATGATGTTTTAGTGGCTCTAAAGGTGTATGTATCAATAGATGTATAAACAGAGTTCCTCGAACTTTTGTTGTATGTGAAAAGAAGGAAATAACGTACGACGTTTGGAATCTTTATTGTTTCACAGTTTTTTTGCTTTTGCTTTTTGGTTTACAAAAAATTACACATTTCTGAAATATAAATATGTTTGCTTTTACATAACATAATGTTTGCAAATGTAAACACAAAAACATATCAGTAAGATTTATTTTCTTTATTATTAACAAAAATAATTGGGCTGATCAGTGATCAAAGTGGTCTAGTTTATGAGTTTATTTGAGAAAAATACATCAAACAAAAGCGTCAAAGGAAATGAAGGTTTTTCAATATAATCTTAAATTATATTTAAAAGAAAATATCGTTTTTACTACTAATACAACGTTTATTTGAAGACAAATAAAGCTATAAATTGTTTAAAAACAGAGTTTATTAGAAAAGCAAATATATATATTAATCGCACGCAAATACAAACAATCAAGACCTTAGATCGTTGTGTACTTCGTGTATGAAGCTCTTTTACGTATGTTTTTTTTTTTTTTTGGCAAACTCTCTTTTACGTATGTATGATTGCATAAAGTAAAGGCCTAAAGCTAATCTGCAATCATAGAGTCCTCCCACCAAGAGCTTTATCTGTGATTCTATAGTATTTTGGTAGTGCATGGATTGAGAATCAATTTGAAAGATTTACATTACATATCAGTAAATGTGTGTACATGTGTGTGTGCGTGTGTGTATGTTTCAACTTACATAACAGTATTTAAATATTGGTAAATCTGTAAAGCAATAAACCTAAAACTAAGACACACGTGAATCCAAGACTATTTCTATATATACTTCAACTACATCGAGCGATATCAGACAAGAAGACAAACAAAAACAATCATACGTAATAGGAGACACTTTTCTCAGTCAAGAAAACAAACGGCTTTTACTACTCCCAAAATCGTGTGGGCGAGAAACTTACGGGCCAAGAAAACAAAAGAGCTTAAAAACCACTAAGATCACAGAACATAACGTAAGTGGAAGACTGAAAGAGACACTTGTGATTGAAACAGCCGAAGAAAGAAATAGAGACAGCTTTTCTAAACCACCGCAAAAGTTGGAAAAAAAAACAAAATCAAATAACACTTTATAGTCAAGACAGGAACAGATTACATAAGTTTTGTATTTGGTAAGTCAAAATTATAACAGTTTGGTCCCATATATCTCGTAATCATCGATATCCATCTTTTGCTTTTCTTTTATTTTCACTTTGAATATCATTGTATATATAAAACATACATCACAATCTCAGTCTATATATAGGTTTATGCGTGTGTGTGCTAAAGTAGTCTATGTAGTCTATATATGTACTAAAGCCACCTCTATAGTTAAGACAAGTATGTTTGTATTATTTCTTTTCCTCGCTTTGTTTTCGTTCGTTGATTGGTCGTGTCTTTGCAAATGTTATAGGTTCCTTTATCATCTTTGAAAAAGACCTTAAATAATGTAGAGAAGAGACCTTAACTAATGTATTTAAGGAATTCATTACCAGTCGATTTTGCTGTATATTTATAGACCATATCTTTGTAGTTCTTTTCACAGCATCCAAATGTATGAGATCGTGTTGTATTTAATAACGTTACATAATTATATATGTTCTTCTTTTCGTAATTACTAAATTTTTTTAATAGGTTGTCTTTTAATGGATAGAAATGTTCATGAAGACAAAGAAGAGATAAGAATGGATACTATGAAAAATATATAGAAGATGATGTGTTTGATGGGAATATCTCTAGCTAGTAGTGTTGCATAATGTAATGGTCGGAAAAAAAAATAACATGGTGGCATACAAATAATTTTAATACTTTCTTTTCTTTTGTGTAGTTACCATATGTTATTTAACAATTGGATGTATAGGATGCCCATCGCTAAGATCTTTCTCTGCCAGTTGAAATTGTAAAAACTCGCTTTCCCGCTCCCAAAAACTTCCACATATCCGTTTCCGATTCCATACAACCCATACGTAAATTTGTTTTTATGTTATGTCATGCCATCATCTTTTTATCACATTACGGTTTCATCGGTTCATAACTTCCTTTAAAGAAAAAAAATTTTAATAGTGAGAAACCAATTTGGACTTGGTTTGGGAAAATAAAAATTGGGCCTATGTTTTTATTGAAAAGTAAGTTCTTTCAAGTCTTAACTAAAATTTTGCAGATGTTCTCAACTAATCTATCCATCATTATGGACGGTGGAGACCTCATTTGGTGATTTGAATCCAAAATGAACTTACATAGTTTGGAAGTGCTTATTTCTAGAGTACTATATGTTACTCTTTCGTGGTTTTTTTTTTTCTCGTTTATTCACAATTGCTTCATCTCTGAATCTGTTAAGTTAAAACATAAAAGACGTGGTTGTAATTTAAATACATTGGTAATAGAGTAATAGTAAATTTTTTGAGTGGACTACACGATCGTACATTGTCTCATACTCTCATGTACTATTCTGCATTGAGTAGTTGCTGCATGCCTAGTTTAGTACAAGGCTCCAACAAACAATCTTTAATACAGAAACATCATAAGAAAATCTTACAATATATCCTAAGAATAAGTTGTTCCAAACGTCCCAAACGACTTGCAAAATTATTAGCTAGGAAAGGAAAAGAAAAAAAAAACTTGTTGATTTGTGATTAAGTTGCATGTATATATCTATTGAAACATATGCACGAAATCTCTTTAAACATTAGCATATCTTCTGTTACATGTGTAGATTCAGATTTCTCCTAAGTAATCTCTTCTGTAAAGTGTACGTACTAATTAATATTATAACCAAAGAAAAATATATGCACGCGAACGTAAAACTATTAATATTTCCCAATACAACAAACCAAATAATGATTGGTACGTAAGGCATATAATTTCTGGCATCTAGACAAAAAAATAAAAAGAGAAAGATAAGCAAATTATTTTTGGGTTTCAAATTGTGAAATATTTTATATGACAATATATATGATTAAATATTGAATTTTGTATGTGGAAGAGTACTGAGTTCCCATGTTGGTTGCATGTGTCTGCGGTGGATCCATATTCTCTTTACACCCAAACCAAAACTATTTCACATCAGAGAGTTTTGGGCAAAACACCACAAAGCCCCAAATATGAAACAATTATTGATACTTCTGTCTCTCTGTGGAAACACCTCTCACTACACATGCCTTCTCTTCTCTTAATCATATGTGTGTGCATATAATTGATGACTACAATTTACACGTCATCTTCTTCATCATCATCATCAGCTTAATCATCAATTACTTTCTTTGAAATTTCTCTGATAATTATGTTTTAGTTGAAAATGAGTTTGTAAACTTAAATCTTCAACTTCTAAGTCGTAGTTTAGATTAATAAATAAACAAAAGTATATCATATGTTTTAAACGATGGAATTTTAATATGTTGTATTTTACGATTTCGCGTTATCGAATATTAATTATTTTCGTTTTAAAATCAGAAGAAAAGAGTTTACAAAATAATAAAAATCAATAACATATCTATACTTAGATATTTAAAATTATGATAAACAAACCACATAGTTTTTTTCTCTTTTAGAAACATTGATTCACGAATGAAAGATCGAACAAGTAATCAAAATTAAGAACAACAATATAGACATCAATCAATACAAATATCAAACAAACCTTTTTAAATAAATAATAAAAGAATCATCACCTTCCTATCCTTGAGGCATCAAAAAACCTCAAATAAAGTAGGAAATTATAATATCCAAATCCCAATATACAAACACTAATTACAAGTTATAACATAAATCACTTCATTTTCTATAAGTACTCTTAGTTTCTCTCTTTTTCTTCTCTTTTTTCTTGTACGAGTTACTAGTTTTTTTATCAATATCATTTTTACTCTTAGTATTATTACCTTCAATTTTCCCGTTCTTCAATTCCAACGCCTTGTTCTTTTGGTGATACCGCTGATGATAATTTGGTCCAGACGAAGCGTCCGAGGCCATTGAATCATCGCTATCTTTGTTCCTCTCTTCTTCAGTTTCGCCTTTGCTAAAGTAACTATACATGTTATACACTTCTTGATAGTCTTGGTCCACGACCTCCTCTTCATCTACTTCGATCGGCGACGATATATAAGTCGTCCAACCCGATTCACTACTGCTGCATTCTTCCTTCTCCATCAAGAACTCAAGAACCCTAATCTTGATGCGAGAGGGCGAGAGAGAGAGAGAGAGGCTTGTGTTTTAGAGCTGTAGTTGTGCATTTGCTAGGAACACGGCTCTTATGTATATATGTGCATGTGGTGGGGAATAAGGCTGCTCGTATGTTTTTTCATTATTTTATTGCGTTAAGGACAGCTTATGTCCTAACATTTAAAGCTATATCCGACATGATTCGTAAAAGAATAATTGTTCTTTTACGTGAAATTTTTTTGTTTGTTTCTATTTGTTTATGTGTTTGTCTTCTCTTAATGGCTCGATTAATTAGGACGTTCCACCAATATACTACGGTAGTTGAGAAAATTATACTAGTATTTAAAAAAGTTAATGTTTCCTAACAATAGTTAGGTTATATTACTAACTAATTAAATTAATTGGGTGTGCAAAGGGCATTTTAGTTTTACAATTATAGCATGAGGGGAATGTATCTTTACACTTAAAATTCTCTGTATAAGAGACCAAACACGAACCTTCCTGAAGATTGGTGTTAGGTTTTTCTGATCAAACCCATGTTCTATAACATGTTAGGATAATGCCACTTTTTTTTATCTTCTTTCTGAGCTAACGTCATCATTTTACAACCTTCTATAATAAATTATATAATATATGGACAATTCTCTTTAAAAAAACAGTTTTATGCTTTGTTTCTAAAAATTTATCCCCAAAACACACAAAAATTAAACAAAGATTTTAGGGTAAAATGATATTATCATGTGTCCCTAAAATAGAATATAAATAGAAATGTAAAGACTGATTAATGTTTTTTTAGTCACGAAAAAAACTCCTAAGTTAAATTACTTTTAATACTCTTAAATAGGTTCGACCATTTGTGTTTAATTTGTGTTTCAAGATTTAAATCAAGATGTTAATTATATCATATGCAACGGAGTTGGTTGTACAAATAGATGTCCACATTTGTGTGCTATCTTTGTTTGCATTCGTTTGTCTCTTTACGGGCATGATGAGTCGGTGTCTTTTGATCTAATTATTGGATGATTTTATGATAATTTAGGTTCAATTAATAGTTGAAATAAACTAACTTTATTTAGAAAAATCGTATCCATGGAAGTAGTGGTATCAATAATTTGTATTTTCACAAATTATATACATAGTGTTTTTTTTGTCGGCCAAATTTTTCATTAGATAGAAGATAATATAAAGAGTTTATAAAACGTTTTTTTTATCTAAACAAATATCCTGAACAAAACATAGTTTACATAAATAAATTTAATAAAGTCTAATCCTGAACAAAACATAGTTTACATAAATAAATTTAATAAAGTATTAGACTAAATGTGTAGTCTAGTAGTTTATATTAGTATTACTATTATCACAATATCATCTTTTAGATCCAAATTCAATGGACTTCTACTACTCAAGGGGGTTTAGTCCTCCACCTCGTATTAGTATTCTCGAATGGCTTCAAACCATTCAATAGGGCCTTCTCATTTGGGTCGATCCGATTAACGAAATCTTAAACCAACATTTCCCTTCGATGTGGTCACCTAGTGGCTCGTGTACTCATGTTGTTTACCTACCTTTATTATACAAGTATTACACAAAAATAAAATAGATGTCTTTTATTTTATAGTTTACATTATATGCATTCCTTAATATTGCTATCATGATAACTGATATAACACAAAGGAAGAGTGAAGGATATAACAATGAGGATATGGATAATTTCAATAGTCACTTTCGCTTAAGAACGACATAATAGATCATTTGTTTCTTACACTTTTCGAAGTCGATCGGGTGCTCAGAGAACTTCTTAGCAAGTCGATTAAATAGCTCATCGACTTTACCATTTCCAAAATGTTTTTCTATAAATGTAGGCATAACGGCTCGATACGTGGAAATCATGAAGTCATTGGTTAATTCCGCAGCTTCCAATGGATGTCTTACTGTCTCCATCAACTCAATTGTAAAGCTTTCGTTTTCCTCAATCACTCCTTTCACTTCACTAAAGTAAGGAAAATACAAGGGCATGCTGAACATTTCGATCTTTTCATGACTTGTTATTCCCTACAATGGAAAAAAATAAAATAATATTGATATTTGTAACCAAATTTTCATGACCCTAAGCATCAAACAAAATATTATTTAGGCTTTAAAAACTATATATTGTATGATGCTTTGAAAAGGATATAACAAACAAACTAAAAATACTTTGGAATTTTATATCTTACCAATTTGGCCATCTCCTGAAGACAATCACCCATGGTATCTTTCACAATACCTGGCCATGTCTCATACATGGCCACACCATCGGGCAAATATAGTCCTAACATGATCATCAATCCTCCAGGGACAAGTTCTTCGGCTCTAGCTTTAAGAAAGAGGCTCATGTCTTGTGTGTACTGGTCCTTGTAAGCCTTGGTAACTTCTTCTATCAAATTATTACAATAGATATAACTTTTGTTCCAAGCTGGTGATTTCTTGTCAAAGACTTGTTCCGGAACTCCCGAAAGCCAGTGAGTCGTGCAGGAAGTGGTTCCTATGTGGATGCTATTTTTTGGTAACACTCGGCCATAGAAAGAGCCTGGAACTCCCACCGAGAGATATTCTTGTTCAAAGGAAGTTGGTAGAGTTCTAAAGAGTGTGTTGAAGTCGTTGTTGGATTGATCATTGAAGAAAACTTGGAACTCGAGAGAGGACACAAGACTATTTTCTTGGGATTCTTTAAGGTGTTTGAGTTTTACAGCATCAATAATATTTTGAATAGCATGAAACGTGTTAGGGCCAATAGAACAACCAAAATCTGCAATCCTAAAAGTACTAAGATCGGGATTCAGAGTCAGGAGATCGAATTTTTCTAAAATGTATTGTTTTGCCTTTTCCTCAACCCCATCCATGGCTGCTTTCTATATAAAAAATGTATTTTTATTATTACGTGTAATAGAAGTTACCATAATATCTAGCAATAACAAAAGCATCCTAAACAAATGTTAAATTATATTAAAAAAATACCGATTTTACAACTTGCGGCTCGGATAATTGAAAAGTAACAATAATTTCAGTTTAATAAACTTTTAAATAACTTATATATATATATATATATATATATATATATATATATATATATATATATATATATAT